ATTCCCAGATCGACGTTGCTAATTCAACTTGTTACCGGCGGCGAATGAAATATTCATTTCGAGCTCTGTCCCACGACGGAGTTTCTTGGTCCACTTTTCAGTTGGCTTTTGAACGATTTGTTTTGATACTCTCGCCCCGTTACTATTAAAATTTGTCGTTGGCTAATCTCGAATCGGTGTTTTATTAATAATTTTGAATAAAATATGCAGGCAATAAACAAAATTTGGTCGATTAAGTTAAACAAATAAATTTACATATTAAGTTCATTTATATATATAGGAATTTTAATTAGTTTATTTATTTGTTTACATTTTATTGAAATATTATGAACCTGCATTACCTTTTCATGAATTCCTAAACAAATTTTAATTAAAATAAAGATAAATAAATTTTCTATTATTTGTCTAAAGAAAATATTTTTAAAAAACGGTTATTTTAGCCAAGTTATCTACCAGGGACTAAGAACGCACTAAATGACATGCCCACTGTTGAATTATTTGTTTTTAATTGTTACTAGTAATATTTAAAAATGTATCAACTTTATTTTATTCCTAAAATCTTTTTCTTTAGCTTGGGAAAGAATTTTAAGGAAAATCGCAAAACTTTGGGGGGAAAACAGTTTTCCCGCTAGAGAGTGTGACCAGAAAGCGCATCAGAATGTGCGGCTTTTTCGGTATTTCCGCCGGTAATCGCTGCGACCACACTGCGTTTATGCCCCCAAGTTGTTGTTGTTGTCCGTGTCTCTAAACTTTAGGTAACTTAAAGAATTTAACTCATGGAATCTCAATAAAACCCCCCGGTTATCTAATTCGTTGCGCAACAAGGGGCGAGAGTGGAGCGGCTTGAGAGGCGAGCCCAATTCTATTCGATTCCGGACATCAACAGGTGCGCAGCCGGAAATGGGAGAAGTCAAGGATTGGCGGCCTTTCGTTTACGGCGGAGTTGCCTCAATTACGGCGGAATTTGGTAAACAAATAAGGGGGCTTAAATTGCCACGCCCCCAATCGACGCCTATTGTGTCTGAGCGTCAGCTAAATACCCATGCGGCTCTTATCTCCCCGATCGAATCTTTGTAAACAAATCTATTCATTGCAGGCACCTTTCCTATCGACACTACGAAGACGCGCCTCCAAATCCAAGGTCAGAAAATCGACCAAACGTTCTCCCAGCTGCGATATCGCGGCATGACCGATGCCTTTGTGAAAATCTCCCGCGAGGAGGGACTGAGGGCCCTGTATTCCGGGTAAGAGTCTGGGGGGATCTCCGGCTGGCACGTTGTCAAAACATGGGCTCATCATGCCATTCTTATCGCGCCAAACGTGACAGTCACGTGTTCGTCCGCTGGGGTGCTTTAACGAGTGCAGGGACAAGAAGTACAGTGGACACTCCATGAGGTGGATGTTGTGTGAACTCTTGCTAAGACTCTATAAATCAAAAGCATAGGCAAAAACCCTTTTTTTTCAAGATCAAAAGTAATAAGGTTTGATAATAGCTACAACTAATTTTATACTCTCTTTTTACATTCAGAAAACAAAATTACAAACTAGTTAAAATAAAGTTTTTTTGAATTTCAAGACATTAAATTTTAGATATGCTAGCTAAAAGTTCATGTTATTGTAATTGGACTGTATAGAAAGACATCCATGATAATGCTTACTCACGGCTGGCCAAAAATAAATCGTTTGTTGGGGCGGCATGTTTAATCAGTCGGCAAACTTTGCCCGGCAGCTAATCCATTCGACTTCGTATCTGATTTTGATCCCAAGGCACAGTACAATTAATAAAGATCATATTGGCACACTTGCAGAAATTTATTTTACCAAAAATAAAAAGAAAATTAATAAGCAACGAATATTTTCTAGTAGGGTATCAAACTTTCAGTATGAGCAAATTAAACAAAAAAAGTATTTTTATTTGCAATGGGTTTTTTTTTAATCCCCCCTTCGAATAAATTAAATATATTATTAAATCGTTTTATTATTTTTTCTGCAGCATTTGGCCAGCGGTGTTACGGCAGGCAACCTATGGCACCATCAAATTCGGAACTTACTACACCCTGAAGAAGCTGGCCAACGAACGTGGGTTGCTGACTAACGAGGACGGCAGCGAGCGGGTGTGGAGCAACATCCTGTGTGCGGCGGCGGCAGGAGCCATCTCCTCGGCGATCGCCAATCCCACGGACGTCCTGAAGGTTCGGATGCAGGTGCACGGGAAGGGTCAGCACAAGGGCCTGCTGGGCTGCTTCGGCGAGATATACAAGTACGAGGGCGTTCGGGGACTCTGGCGGGGTGTGGGTCCGACGGCTCAGCGCGCCGTGGTTATCGCCTCCGTTGAGCTGCCTGTCTACGACTTTTGCAAGCTGCAGTTGATGAACGCCTTTGGAGATCACGTGGCTAATCATTTCATGTAAGTACTGGGTAGCTCAACAGATCGTGTGGTTTATAAGGTAATTTTTTTAAATTGCAGCTCGAGTTTTATTGCCAGTCTGGGCAGTGCCATAGCCTCAACCCCCATTGATGTAATTCGGGTAAGCTAAGCCCAAGCATTGGCTAAACTCTTACTGAGCTCAATTCATCCCCTTTCAGACCCGCCTCATGAACCAGCGACACGTGAGCATAAGCATTAACGGAGTGGTCACGGCGGCAGCCACACCAAAGCTGTACAGCGGAAGCCTCGACTGCGCCGTGCAGACAATCAGGAACGAAGGACTGCCCGCCCTGTACAAAGGATTCATACCCACCTGGGTGAGGATGGGGCCGTGGAATATCATATTCTTTATTACCTACGAGCAACTGAAGAAGTACTAGCGCAGGCGAGCGGAACGTCCAGGGAATCCAAGTACAAGACGTATTCTAGCATTCAAACCAAAAAGATCAGATCTGACCAGACCTGGCCTAACTTTAAGATCATAGTTGAAGCGGAGGGGTCACTAAAGTGCCTGTCCCACAGGCTATCCGATAGCCGCCAACACCTGATCCAGTGTCATTTTGCCTTGGGCAAGAGTGAAAACGATTTGTCGCATTTTAAATGTTGGCCCACTCAAGTATTTGCATTTTTTGGGATTTTTTCACCAAATTATATGGCTTGGTCGTTGTGAATTCGATTGCCCATCAGGCCACCCACGAAGTACACTGTATTTAACTTAACTAAGCTTTTAATTTAATTACCTAATTAATGAACATGGAAATATTTATAATGAGAATTTGTATTATAAGCGCATTTTGTTTGTTCGGAGTTTAGACATTTTCGATCGTATTACACGTGCATCATCGCTGTAAATATATGCATTTAGTAACATATGCCCTGTTTTACTAAACACAGAATGTACATTTATGCAAATTTACTCAATAAACTGTTTGTTGGAAATCTCAATAATTTGTTTGTTTTGAACAATGCTTTTTACTCTTTATATATATGAAATAAACTTGCGCTGCGTAGGAAGCCTAAGAATATGTCTTGGTAATCTCAATCTTCTAGCTTTTGTAGAAAGGCAGAGACGGACATGACTAAATCGACTCGGCTGGGGACCCTGATCAAGAATATATATACTTTATTGGGTCGGAAATGCTTCTTCTCCCTGTTACATATTTTTGCACGAATAATATATACCCTTTTAATCTACGAGTAACGGGTATAAAAATGTCAGATAACGATTATTTGTAACACTTATATTCGCAAATGGCGCAAAAAAAAATCAGATAAAGAAAAATAATCTTCAATCGGCTTTTTCAAATTCAACAAGAACAGTTCTTCACATATCAGCTACCGAAGACATACACAAGTGAGCTATTTGATAAAAATAAAAGCACAAATGTTGAAGCTAACAATCAGTTCAGATTAATACCTTTAGACGTGCAGGCGGTGTTATAGACAACGCAAAACAAATTGTTCAGTTATAAAACGGATTAAATACTTTAATGTGACCACAACTGATCTCAAAAATCATATTTAGAAGGCGCTTTATAAAACTGGACACTCAATAACAAACAAGGCGTTAAAAAAATTTGAATCTATTTAAAAAATCACCGTTTAAACATGGAAAATGTGCAGGCCTTATCAGAAGTCCATCTAAACCAAGCACTGATGCTAATTAGTTATGTGCCCCCTTTTGATGGAACCCCTAGCACCCTTAGTACTTTCATCAGACGTGTGGATAGTATCTTACAATTTTATCCAACTCAAGACCCCCGACAAGTCTTTGCGCTATTTCTGGCAATTGAAGTGCGGGTAATTGGAGAAGCCCGTTTGGTAAGGGAAATAGCTACAGCGAAATCCTGGCCGGAATTGAAGAAGGAATTGATCAACCGATTTAAAATCTTCACTCCTTTCGACAAACTATTAACGCAATTGAAGATAGACATGGCGGATACCTATGAAGGAACTGAAAAATTCATCGAAAAAGTGGAGAAAAAGTCATCTGTAATTTACGATCAGCTAGATTTAGAAAACGATTCGGGTTTGGAAGAACAGCTCACGCAAAAAGCAATCCAGCGTGCTATTCACCAACATATGCCACTTACAGAGATTAAAAATTTATCAGATCTAAGAAGAGCATTCCAAGAATATGGTATAATCGATTAACTGTCGCATCCAAACGCAACTTATTAAATTAAAACACTTTCATAAATTCTGAAATTATTTCTTGCCAGAGAGAGGTAAAATATTATTTACAAATATAAGTGAAAAGCTATTAAGTATATTCATTCCAACTTAACAGTTTAAATCATGTTCTTTATTTAACAAAACTATAAATGATATATTAAATGTTTGTAAAAATCCCTTAACTAAATAAATAAAAGTCGTTTTGGTCAAATATATGTGGTTTCAAATATATCTGGGCGGCAAAAAAACAATCGATCATAATTGATCAAGCTTATCGTGCCATTCAAATACTTTACTCAACACTGCGACTTTTACCAACACTTAAGGACGCTTAAATTGAAAAAAAAATTGCTTCAAGCTTGGCGTCGCGTTGCATTTATTGAAATAACTTCTGAAAATGGATTTTCTGTCGAGCATTTCGAAGGTTGGTAGTGCGGAGGTAAGTATTCAGGCTTATATTTGTGCGTTCCCAATTAGTGAAAGTGGAATTTAGTCGGTAGCCAAGGATTTCGCCGTTGCCTTCCTGCGAGCCGTGACCTCTGACCCGCATAACTGGATTGCCAAGGTATCCCACCAGTTTGTGGGCCAGTGCTTCGGAGTCCTTGGCCTGAACTTCAACGTGAGCGTCCAGGCCTTTAGCCAAACACAGGATCATCCGTATCGCGATGATAATGCCAACTATATCTTCCTACGGGCGCCACTCGTGATGCAGGAACTCGATAGATTTCTGGGTCGTTTGCCCTCAATATTGGCCGAAATTGCCGATCATTTGGCCTCCAAGAGAGGAACCGAGATTGACGAACTGAGGCACCCATTATCCTGCTACCTGCGCCTCGTCCTGAGGTGGATCCATGTGGTGAGCGCCATGTGCGCCAACATGCAGCTCAGCAACAGCGCCGCCATCGATCGATACCTGTGCGATCCGTTGGCCAGAATGTGTGGGTTACCCATATTATAGGTAGTACAGTACCCTTGTCATTCAAAAACATTCCTTAGCTTTCAGCATTCTGTGCGGACTGACCAATTTACTGCCGAAATATGAAGACTTTCTGGGACTCAAGAAGATTTGCTTATTACTCGCCGAAGACGTTCGCTATGGCATATTGTACGTACTATCAAATAGTATTTTAAAGGTTTTAATAAGATGGCAAATTAATTTTTAAACACCTTACCTATAAATACTATGAAATCCTTTTGCAATTTAAACCTTTCAGCTACCGTGATACCTGTAGAGAGGTGGTTCCACCTATGCTGGAGATCTTCCGAAAGCACTACAAAACTTTCTGCGGCGCCGAAAAAACTGGCTTGGACTTCATTTACTGTGTCCTCACTGTTGTGGCAAGAATTATTTCATAACATTTTTAACAAATACGTACAATATATAACCCTTTTTAGATGATCGAGGACGATATGTATATAGCTGCATACGGCTTTTTGGAGAGCATGATTAAACAGTTCGCCGAGAGCACCGTTGAAAATTCGAACCATTATCTGCGCGCCCTTACTAATGAGCTGATCGATGCCAAATATGTGGTGCTGCAATTTGGAGTCTTCAAGGAAAGCAATTCCAAAGCCTTGCTTTTGGCCACCCTGAAGTATTTGATGACTCTTCAAAGGTATACCATCATGAAGAATACTTTTAAGCAAAACAAATTTAACTTAAAAATGTTCTTTTGATATAGCAATATAGCCAGCGCAGAGTGCTTTTCCAAACGTTTCCACGAAGTCCTGCTTCAACTTGTCCTGCGAATGCAAGTGTCTGCAGTAGCGGTTGCCTCACTGGCAGCCGAGCTATTCATTAAACTATCTCAGCGCCAGCACCAAGACCGGGACATAGCACAGCATATCCTGGAGACCTACATTAAGATGCCCGATAGTCATCGAAAAAGACAAAATTATGCGCAATTCCGAACTGAACTTACGCTTTATCTGAAGGCCCTCATACAACATTTTCCCCCGCTGGGGGAGTTCGAGTTTTACGCTTTTGTGCTCAACGCCCGAAATGTTCGGCTTGAATTGAGTCTTATTGCTGCCCAATCGGCGAGCATAGTCTTCGAAATGCATATGGCGGAGTACTCCGCGGTGCCGGAGGCTCGTGACCAGGTCAACGAATTCCTGCGCTGTTGGCCTTATCTCCTGCAATCGCCGTCAAACCAAAATGGCACTCGACCTGTGCTCTACAGTATTTATAGTATGATCAATTTTGAGACCGTTGCTGTGCTAGATGCTGAGGTAGGTCCTAAGAAAATTATTTTAGTTTTTGTTCGAGTAGAAAATTCTTTAAATTTAACTTTAAAATACTTTGCAGTTGCTAGTGAACTTGGAGGCTTGCTGTCTGGATAATTTTTTAAATGACGAGACCCTCACTGAGTCGGAGATGTATAACCTCTACACAATTATCTCGCGCTCTGTGGATGCAACAGGAAACATTCAGATACACTTTACCGCATCCAGGGCTCTACGTGATGAGCAGGCTGAGCTGCAGAACCGTTTGAGCAGCAACTCTGAGGGTCCCGAAAGCCAGGAGCTATTGAACGCCTATGCCAAAAGTATTCGTCGCCTATATGGCCTCCTAATGGCCAATAAGCTACACGTACGTCATGTTTCGGGCTTTTACGAGACCCTTGTCAAATTTGTGTTGGAAACGCCTACACAAAATGAAAATATAAGTAAGAAAGTATTTGTTTTAACATAGTGCAGGTGAATAATGTATTTGCATTTACATTTCAGCTCTATATGGCTGCGAAAGCTTGGCTGCCATGCTAGTCCTGCTGCACCATAATCTCAAGGATTTAGACGACGCGATGGGCCTCAGGATATCACTTTTGGTACAGCAGCTACAAGACTTTTGCGTTTCTGAATTGTCAAACGCCAATTTGGACTTGAAGCGAGCCAAGTTTATGGTCTGTTCTATTCTCATATTGCATATCAATAAGCTGCCATATTCGAACCTGGACTCTGCTGCTTACGACAGGGTTCTCGAAATATTAATCTCACCCCCACGGGAATTGCAGTCTGAAAGCGTTAGGCTTTCGAGTAATTACGTATCCGAAATGTATTTCATGTTCCGTGAACTAATCAAGACGGACACGCAAATCGTGTTACCCAGCAGTAAGATATTGAAGGTGTTATCGCAATACAAAATGGTAAGATTATTTTATAAATTAAATTTAAACATTGTAAAATAAATTGGTCTAATCTTAAAAATGTTTAAATGTTTTAATTACAGTCAGTATCAATGAGCCTTTACAAGATCTGGTTCTAAATTAGTTTCCGTATTATATAAACCTATATTTATTTAACCCTTTTTACATTTTATTACCTTGTCCTAGTCTGTAACTAAGAACAATTTCCTGGACTTCGAGATAGAGTTGCTCATAAATGGTCTTATGGAGAGTCGTATTGAAAGCTATGTTAACTGCATTCCGGAAATTCAATTGCAACTTTACGACGATCCCGATGTCAGGAAGAAGGCTTCAAGGGCTTTAACTGCACACCTTAAGCTCATTGATAACAACTGCACTGCTTTGGACTCCTGGCTGCTGCGTTTTATAATATTTCAAGACTCGCTTGATCTTATGGTCAAGAATATGCGTACATGGCGCATGGAGGTCACCAGTTCATTTCAACGGAATCGTTTCCAGCCGCTGCAGCATCTTTTGACTCTAGTGTCCAATTTGCGACTTCAGGAAACGCACTTTATGAGCATGTAAGCTTGGGATAACTAAAATATGTATTCTCTTATGCAATCGAATATTTTTATGCAGTGCTAAAATTGTGTGTATTATGAAGAAAGAGGCAGTTGGTCCCCAGGAGATTTCAGAGGTCGAGAGCTTCATTACTCGGATCAGTACATTTAAATATCAGGCCGAAGATGAAGAATTGGAAGCTACAAATGACGAGAATTTCGAGGGGAAACTGAAAGTATTGCCGTCTGGTCCATTCAATTTATGGCAGTACAATACTCTTACAGTTTCAAGGGATCCATCTATTTAACCGTTTAATATCAAAACAATTAAAAAACATGAAAATTTTATTATTACTTATCTGAACTTCAAATATTATTATTTTAAAATTGCCCGAAAATCGACACGATATAGTTATGAAAAATTATGTTACCTTTTACGAGGGCTGTCCGATAAATAACCGACCTCAACGTCAAGATAGCGGCACATCTGAAAAAAAAGTGTCTACTTCAAATTGTGCATATTATAAAAGCTACTCGCCAAAATTTCAGAAATTTATCTTGCGCAATTATCTGTTGACAGTCGTTTTTGTGAGTCTATTTCGGTGATTTCCCCAAAATGGAAAAAATTGAATATCGAGCTGTAATTAAATTTTTATTTTTGAAAGGCAATACGCCTTCACAAATCAAAGATGAGTTGGACTCTGTGTATGGTGACTCTGCACCATCGTTTACCACCGTAAAATTTTAGGCAGCTGAATTTAAACGTGGTCGCAGGAGCTTGGAAGATGATGAACGTCCTGGGCGTCCAAAAACTGTAACCACTAACGATAACATCGCTAAAGTTCATCAATTGGTACTAGACGACCGCCGGATTAAAGTTAGGGAAATAGCTGAGATTATGAAGATGTCAAAAGAACGTGTTTGTCACATATTAAACCAAGATTTGGGCATGAGAAAGCTGTCCGCGCGTTGGGTGCCGCGTTTGCTTACGTTAGACCACAAACGTGCGCGCATGAACATTTCCAGCGCTCTGTTGGCTCAGTTTAGAGGCAATAAGACCGAGTTTTGGCGCCGATTGATAACTGTAGACGAAACTTGGATTCATCATTATACGCCCGAAACAAAAATCCAATCTAAACAGTGGATTGAAAAGGGGGAACCGGCCCCAAAAAAACCCAAAGCTGTGTATTCGGCTGGGAAAGTGATGGCGAGTGTTTTATGGGACAGCCATGGAATTATTTTTATCGACTATCTCGAAAAAGGAAAAACTATAACAGGAGCATACTACGCATCATTATTGGACAAGCTAAAGGAAGAAATTTCGAAAAATCGGCCACATTTGCAAAAAAAGAAAGTCTTGTTTCACCAAGACAACGCCCCATCTCACACCTCAACAGTCGCCATGGCGAAAATCCACGAATTGCGGTTCGAACTGCTTGACCATCCACCTTATTCACCGGATCTAGCACCAAGCGACTTTTTTTTGTTTCCTCAACTTAAAACTGCGCTCGGCGGCCAGAGATTTTCGTCAAATGAGGAGGCAATCTCTTTCGTGAACTCGTATTTTGCAGACAAAGACGTCAAGTACTATTTGGAAGGGTTGCAGAGATGGGAGCATCGCTGGGAGAAGTGTGTTCAGTTACAAGGAGACTATGTAGAAAAATAAAAAAAAAATTTTTGAAAAAGTCGCGTGCATCATGGTTAGGTCGGTTATTTATCAGACAGCCCTCGTATATGTACTTATCTGAACATCAAATATTAATTTCAATTTATTAAAGCAAGAAGGAAATCACAGTTGACTTTGCTGCTATGGGTAAAATCTCTTATCAAAATCGCCTGGGCCGTAGACTAAAAACACGATATAGCTCAGTGCCTGGTGTTGAAGCAACAGGAACAACAATGGATTCCTGCGTTGACATTGCGGCACCTGATCCTTCTTTGCCTACCGAGGTGGATCCCTTGGATGAAATTGCCCGCGAGCGGCAGGAATGGCAGTCCCTCGTTCTTTGGCGTCGCCCGGTGGAGACCTTAAAATATGGAATTTTGGAAGCCGGACAGCTGCTGCTATCCTTCACCGCCAAACTACTGAATATGTGGTTCATGGCCAGCGTGCTGCTCCTGGGCATGTTCTGCCTGCTGCCTGGCCCGCATGAGGACTTTGTGAATTTCTGCCAGCAGAGATTCGGATTCGCCGTCTACTGGCTGGGACTAGGAGTACTCTCATCTGTGGGCTTCGGCACCGGGCTGCACACCTTTTTGCTCTACCTGGGTCCCCACTTGGCCGCTGTGACGCTGGCCGCTTACGAATGCCAGACCCTGGACTTTCCTACTCCACCCTATCCGGACATGAAGGTATGCCCGCAGGAGCCGTATAAGCATCATCATCCAGACGTCTGGGAAATTCTATCGAAGGTCAGACCGGAGGCGCTACTTTGGGGCATTGGTACGGCACTCGGCGAGTTGCCCCCGTACTTTATGGCCCGTAGAGCCCGGTTGTCCGGCAAGGAGTTGGACGGAGCGCAGGCGGAAATCTTATTGGCAAACAAGCGAATGAACGGCGAGCTCAACCTCTTGGACCGCGCCAAATTGTTCATGGAACGCGTAATGCGAAGAGTGGGCTTCCTGGGAATTCTTTTCTGCGCCAGCATTCCCAATCCCCTGTTCGATCTGGCTGGGATTTCTTGCGGCCACTTTCTGGTGCCCTTCTGGAAGTTCTTTGTGGCCACCCTGATCGGCAAGGCGTTGGTTAAAGCCACCATACAACAGTTGTTTGTCATCGCATCCCTTACCGAGAATCTGGTCAATAAGTTTGTTTTCTGTCTGGGCCAGTTGCCCTATCTTGGACCCCCGTTGCAGGAGATCATCAAGGACCTTTTGCGGTCCACCAAGCGGCAGATGCATGGCACCGGCGAATCAGAGTCCCTGGCTTATCTGGGCCTTCTAGTGTTAGCCTTTGAGCTGTGCGCCTTCGTGATGGTGGCTTGCTTCGTAGTATCATCGCTGAACTGCCTGGCCCAAATCCATTGCAAGCGCCAGCAGGAGAAGGAGCGCAGGATGCGAAACTTGCAGATGATCCTTTTTGCCGACGAAGAGGCATCCTCATCGGAGGAGTTTACAGCCTGACCAGATTTTATCTGTAATATATTTCGTAGTTTTAAAGCGAATAATTTGCCTTATTTGATATTTTCTGTAGATCTTAACGATTTCTGTTTAAATCAGTATTAATTTTACCCTGCTACCCTAATATTTATTTATCTTTTGCTTACTTGGGGGAACATAATAATCAAAATCATTAATTTAACGTTTTATATTCTTTATTTTATTATAATTAGTTTCTTTTGGATTTGGGTTCTGTTTTCTGAATTCTTATTGTTTGGTGTGTTTTGTGGATGATCTGTTTTTCTGTGTGTTTAATGCCATCGTAATTATTATCATTGTACAAGTACATTTATATTCAACAGCAATTTAACACAAAGCTAAGCATTATTTTACTATATTCCTCAGGCTTACTCAACCGATCGGGTAGTATGTCATTATTATTTTGTTGCTGGTAGGTATGCATACTTTTATTTCATTTTATTTTTAACCAAAGGCAATAACTCTAAAATATTTGGACTTTCTGTTTTCGGAATGCGTGACAAAGTAATCAGGAAAATAATGCGTTGTATACTCCCTAGAGGAATAACGATCCGACATCGGTTCAGTGACGATATTTCATCTAACTTTTGCACTACGATTTACTGTCCGTGGCTCTTTATTGGGTGTATACCTAGTCAATCTATACTTAAATAGCTTTTAGGCCATAGTTATTCATCGAGGAGTTCACACTCTCTCCACACAAAAGTATGATTTTCTGCCGAACCTAAAAGTTAGGTATAGGTATGAATTTTGCTCTATGTATGATTGCGTGGGTAAAGCAGGAGACTTTAAAATGACTTTTCGGAATATTCTGTCGCTATTACTTAGGTCCATACACACATGTACCATACATTTACATATAATAAGTAGAGTTAGACTAATTGCGGCAAAGTCTTTTCGAGATTTAGAGACTGTAGAAGGTAAAAAATAAATCTTAACACATTGTAACACTTACACTGGGAAACGAAAAGCTCTTCCCACCACCCACTCTCGCCTATTATCTTTTACAACACAAATCGGGGACCTGACCGTCTCTTAATTCCTCATCGACTTCGACTTCGTCCAGTCCAGTCCAGTCCGATTCCCATTCCGATTGATTTGTATTTAGGTAAATATGTATATTTTAACTACACTCATATACGACATGATCTAACCGATTTTCACCAGTGGGGAGTAGGCATGCGATTACGAGTACAATTACGATTAGATATTACAATACAATCTTGCCTAAACTTTTTATTGACGCATAATTTTCAGTATTCAATATTCCTGTATTGCATAAATTAGCTTTGTGGTTATTCAGTTGTTATTTAGTATCATTTATTATCATCGTTTTTAAGTAATTAAGATTAATTTGTTGCCATGTTTGAATGTGGTTCTAGCCCATACACATAACACGCATACATCTATTCAATGTGTTTCCTTCAGCTTTCCGCCTCTTGGTATGCATTCTCTTCTAAAATTTGACGCCTAATACAATTTGCTTATAATTTTGGTTAAAAATTCAATTTATCATAATACCATTTTCCTATAATTTATGATATAGTATAAGACGCTTGTAGTTTTACAAATTAAAGAAGGGCAAAGGAAGGGGTAAGTGAATAGATACTCTCAGCGTAAATTATGCCTAGAAGATTAGTTAATTTAGTTCTTGGGTTTTTCATTACTGCTAAGTACAAAACTAATTTAATTTGACTTAATCGCATTGATCGGGCTGAACGTATACCTAACACTATCCACCTCGACTAGTGTTCAATTTTGCACTTAATTTTTAAGGTTTTTCTTAGCAAGGGAGCAAGTAGTGTTGTTATATTTCGGCTATTATCTGGGAAACAAACTTGAGGAGCCACAAAACAGTCAAACTAACCGGGCCTATGGAAGTATTTTGAAAGACAAATCTTAGCAGCGGAAAATTCTTACTTTTTGCTTCTTATTATAAGTATTATTTTTAAGACTTGCATCTGTATTTGTAGTATGTACGATATATTAAAAAAATATTAACGGCGGGAAGTACTACAATCATTTTGAAGCATTTTAGTTTGGTTTTCTCAAGTTACTGTTACTTATCATGTTTCCTTACACACTTCGTCGTCAATATATATGATCGTTATCATTCGATTTTGTAGCAAAATGTTTCAACTCTGTTTATGTATTTATACGTTGTTTAATTTTGTGTAGAATTCCATTTGGTTGATTGTAGAAAATTGTATTCGGACACTTCTGTAGGTTAAAATGCATGCCACGTCACGTTCTCAATTTAGTTGTATCAAAAGCAAAAGACTTCACTGTATTGTCCTTAATGTCTCAGAATATTTCCGTTTAGCATTGGTTTTCGGTTCTTTAATGAGGAATGAGTCTCTCGGTGAAATGTTTGCTTCTATCGGAGTCTCTGGTTGATCATTGATCATCGGGCAAATGCAGACTTCCAAGTGGACAATGGTGAGTGGTAGGTGAAATTGTATAGATGACAGTTGCGTTAGAAGTTTCGATTTGGTTTTTTATGTAAGTATATTGTCGAATACTTATGTACATCCCTTGTTTTGGTTGTTTTTCTTGTGTCCATTTGCGATTAGAGTTCAGCTTAATTTTTCGTAAAAACCTCCTGGCAAACTCCGCCAGTTATCTCAAATTTGTAAGATTCGGAAATTGTATATTTTAATGACAGTTATCGGTTATTCTTTTGAGCTTTAATACTTCTTACGGTTTCTGTTCTGTTCACGATTCAATTAAATGCTTACGATTGTTTCTTTCAAATGTTATTTACCTCTCTGACTCTGCGACTACCTCTGATTCGTTATACATTAGTTTTGGGGATCTTTGTCTGTGCATATTGAATGCAACCCGCTATGCAAACTAAGTGTTCAATCGAAGAGCAATAATTCAAGTCTCATTGCTTTCTAAACATACGTAATTCTCTAAATAAATGCCAACATACTTGCACAAACTCAAAATGGGGACTTTTCTGTGTTACATTTCAGTTTTTGGGGACATGGGGTTAAAGAATCTTGTTCAGCCAGTTTGTAGTATTGACCAGTTAACTGATAAATGATATATATTTATAAACTATTTACAAGTGCATTGGTTATCCGACAGAACAGTCACGTTCTGCCCAATGCGTTCGAGATTCTGCTTGGGTACGAGTAGAGATCTCTGTATAATACACCCTGCGCGGTGATGTCCACACTAATTGCTGTTAAATATAGTCTTACAGTCCTGGAATGAGAAAAGATTTTAATAAATAAACTATTTGTTTAATCTTTTAGTATCTATAATTTAGGAACTGCATTCTTAGCTTATTATAGCTCATACAGCTTATTATTTTTTATGATCATACTCACTTCATTTAATGCTCTGCAAATATCCATAAATTTACTTAATAAAGTACAGATTATTGTGCTCAAGTCGATCGGTCCTTCCACAGTGTTGCCTGGCCCTAGACGAACCACTCGTCCTTCTGCGCAGCGCCGACGGCGTTGGCATTGGGATGTCCGGCTCCGGCGATGTTCGTCTGGCTGAGCCCGGCGTTATTGTGCGAAAGATCTTGACCTAATTGACGGAATTTGCCAAGCACCAAATGGGACGGACTTTGGTGGCCATCTTCAAGTAGTTGTGTGGAGTGCGGTGGTACCCGGATGGTCCCGCAGGGTGATGCCAGTTTCCCGACGTCGGCAGTTGGGTGTGCTCCCGAGTCAGTGTCCCGCCGACACTGATGCCGTGGTAGTGCAGATGTTTCGACGACCCGTTCGTGTCGGCCGTGTGGTGCACTGGAGGAAAGGATGATGAATGGGATCAGATAATCGCTCTCGGGGATCTCAAGTCTATAGATAGGTTTACTTACCCTGGAGCGCGGTGTTCTGGTTGGCGGCGTTCTCGTCCTGGCGTCGGCACACGCAAATGGCCACCGCCACGATGAGCGCACTCAGGACGAGCAGGACACCCACGACAATGAGGACGAACCAGGTCATATCCATGCCGAAAACCGTGCTGCTCGTCTCACCTGAAAGAATTGATACAAATAAATAAATATTTTATTAAAATTACAAATTATATTTCACACATTAATCTATTTTAATTTAAATTCCTAGCACTACAAGTTAAACTTATATTTTAATGTGCTAGTCACGTGAATTACAATACTTTTTTGATCGGAATAATTTAGAAAAATAATCTTTTAGAAAAATAATCTTAAAAATTGTTTTTTTTTTAAAGACAGTTACATAGAAAATACACATAATAAATAAAAAGACTATATATAACATATTTAATTTATTAAAAAAATCGAGTGTTATTCCTTTTAATTTAAATAAATTTTTTAAATCTTTAAAATATAAATATAAGTAATTATTTGGAATACTATAGTGTAAAATGGAATAGGAATACTCACTCTGGCACAGATTCTGCACTGATTCGTCGGAGTTGTCGCCGCAGTGGTTGATGCCGTCGCACAGGAGATCGGGATGGATGCAGAACTCGCGGGTGGCGCAGGTGAAGTCCTTGCAGGTGTGCTCTGTAACGAAATTGGCTTGTAATGGGATCTGCACGGACTCGTCCTCCGCTGTACTGTTGCCTCCACTTACTGGGATCCTTCACCGACGTAATCACCAACTTGAAGCCGTTCGCATCCGTTCCCCAGCCGTCGGTCACGTACTTCAGAGTCACAAAGTTCGTGCGCGTCAGGAGCGCGTTGACGGTGTTCTTTGTGTTCCGACAGGAGATGTCAATCTGCAAGCCAAGGTATCCACAAATTAGTATTTGCTGGTTTATCATCAATTACAGTAACGAGCGTTCGCCGTATGCAAATGGGGGGCAATGATTTACGTTCCTTTGCTATGATTAAAGTGCTTTAATTTATGGCGTAACATTGGACAGGGAATAATTGATGAAAAGTGATCGATTTCCATTGCCATTTCCAAGTATTTTAAAATTACATTTTTAAGTAAACCTCAAGTCATAATTCCCTCGGATCTCGCAACTCACTTTGATGTACTCAAAAGCCAAAGGAACGAAAGAAGCTTTTCTGCAGGGCAACTGAGCTGAGTGGCATCTTTTCGCATTTCTGCCGGAAACCATCGATGAATTGGCAACAGAAACGAGAGCAGCCAACCCGCTTAAGCTGCGGGCCACATATTGATGTGCTGTGATTCTGTGGTTAATTTCACATCAGCATGTGTACCTGCAAGGTGCACTGCAATCAGACAATGAGCAGGGACAGGTGGGCACACAGTCTGCATGGTCGAGTGGCATTGCATTCCTCTCCCACGACACCTGTCCTTTGGGGCCCGCATGCAAGTGTGCAACAGTCTGGGTGGCATAATGGAAATTAAGCGAGATTTACACCCATGAATACGCACGGCTCGCACTGAAGAACCCTCTACTAAGATATACTTCTTTGGGGGTTTAAGCAGGGATTTTTAAGTTACTATTTGTAATTATTTAAAATAATATGATTTATGAAATATTCTTGTTTTTGTGACACATAAAGTATTAGGTTTAAGATGACATTATACGCGGATCCACCCAGGTAAAAAGGGAAAGGAAATGTAGTACCCCCTGATGTTCCAAAGATGGGACTTTTTATTTCATTTTTTAAAAGAATTATTTTTTTTTATTTTTTATTTTAATGTGATACTTATTTTCCGAGTTTCTCCATTGCTTGCTGATATAATTTGTCTATCGAAACATTCATAAACTTTTTCCATATCCAGCAATTTTAAAATAAATGCCATGCCTTATTGATGAGTTACGAAAAGCATTTAATTTGATTTCGCAATTAAATGGCAGAGCCTGGCGAACTTTTTCCACTGTCGCCTGCTGGTTGGTCACGTTATCGCCATCCTCATCCTCATCCACATCCTCGTCAGCAACCCCAGCAGCACCACTGCCACCGCCGATGCCGCAAAGTGCAAAATGATGATGATGTCTCCGCCTCCTTTGGGGTCCTCCACCTCCTCCTCTCTTTTGGCACGTGTATGCGTCACGTCGCCTGGTTCATCACCAGGACCCACTGCTTCATCGCCCACCCGCAGCTGTGTAAATTTGTAATGTTGTTGGCTTTGGCTCATGAAAGTTCCGCTGGGGGTTCATCAACGTCCTCCCAGGATAGACCCCCCCCTACATTTGTAGGCTTTGCTGTGGCTGCCTTTCTTGACACTGCGTCATGGTATTGGTCCTTCGTCGGCGTCCTTTTCCCCATCATGTGTGCTCCTGCATCTTCGACGTGCCGCGCTTTGTGGCATATTTTAATTTTGTTGCAGCCCGAAAATGCAAACTTTTCTCGGCTTTTCCCCTTACCCAACATTTTCCCCTCGCTTTGTGCCGCTTGTCAGGCAGCGTCTATGTGTGTGCTGGAAAATTTTAATTTTGGATTTTTGCGGCCACCGCCCAACTTGATGCAGTGACAACTTCTTTTGTCAAAAACTATTTACATATTCGTAAAATTGTATTCGTTTCCCGGTTTTTTGGACTTTGCTGTGGCCGGCACGGAGGGAATTTACATACTTTTGCCACTTTGCAGGCGCTTTAGTAAAGTGTAAAGTGGTCCTAGCTCAAGTCAGTTTCATAAATCCTGACCGCTGCCCCGCCTCGTCCTCCTCCTTCTATCCAAAATGGGGAAACGGGGAACTTACAAAGCTGCTTAGGGGGCAAATACCGCAAGTCGTCTGATGCCCAACTTCTGCATCTTCAAATATGCACAGAGGGACTGCAAAACAAGACACTCGACAAATATATATCCGCTAAGGTGCTTATCGCAACCATTTAGATGTCAGCGGAGCAGGTAAATGTTACCGACTTATTAAAAGTACTATGATGGGGGAAAATTCCTTGAAATGTATTCAAAGCGAACTCAGCGCAGTTCTCAATTATTTAAGATGTCTATTTAGAAAGGTGGAAGTGAAGTTTTATACTATTTTTATTTTATTTGAAAGTTATGTATTTTGACCTCAAAATTAAAAGCAATTATAATAACCAAAATATATTTGATCAAAATTATAGAACGAATTAGTTTCTATGGGAAATTTACTCCATTTAGTCAGCCTCCTCAAAGTTATTTTATCTTGATAATTAATCTAGTCTACATTAATTATTTAAACAGATTTAATATGTACTAAATTTACTGTATACATTCAGCTTCTTTGATGGAAGTTTGCCTTGCGCAAAATAGAATAAATGTATTTATTGCATCGGCGCCTGACCACAAATTACTACCTTAGATGGCCAATGAGTGCGTCTTAATTTGACAGGCGTCCTTGCATCCTTCTAATGACCGAATAAGGCGATTCTGGTGATTCAGTGCCTCATCCATTCTCGTTGTTTTGGCCATGAAGGCGTACGTGCGTGCTGACCATGTTTGATTTAAGGCTGTGACCCCGTCCATTGCGACTCTTACTCGCACTTTCATTCCCATTCCAATATCCCGTTTCCCATCCTCGTTTCTGGGCCATTGAGTGATGGCGCCTGTTGAGCTCGCTGCTTGTCCTTGTTTTGGTCCTTGCCATCGCCGTCGCTGATTTGGCAGAACGATTTTACGATACTTTCGCTTTTATGGCCCTCCATTCGCCTGCTAACTTATTTACGATGGGTTCCCTTCCAGGGGCGAACCGGCTCCAAATCACAGTACTCGGGGTCCTGGGATAATAACTGTCACACGAACTGGCATTTCAAGCACTGAGCCCTCATAATTAAGGTTAATTTTGTTGCCATCGATATTGACGTGGCTTTTTCTGGAGTGGCGCCCAATGATGTTCGAAGATGACTCATATTTCGGGGATGCAAAAACCAGCAAAATTACTTTCTTTACGACCTCATTCCAGTTGCAATCACGACTCGCTTCTTGGCTGTAGCTTTTGTTACAGGCTATAGCCTGACTTTCATTTCGGAAGTTTTAACACACATATTTAATGAGCGTACTTTAAGTCTTATATAAAGTACATTTAACGAAAGTTAAAAATTTGAATAATCATTGAGTTAGTCATTCCATTTTGATGCAATTTTAATGGTGTAACGGATAACATGACGTATACGCAATATTCTTGAATACATATCAGCTCTTTAAACATCACGTATACGCAATATTCTTTTTTCTTAATATTTTAAGTTCTGTAAATAATTCTTAATTAAATATCTCGTGCGAACGTCAAAGAGGTATAGTTTTTAAAGACTTTAAAGTAAAATATTTAATTTGTTAAAATCTTTAGAAAAATTATACCGAAAAAAACTAAACAAAAATTCAAAAATTAAGATTGTTATAATTCCGAATTTCCCCGCTAATCCATGTCAGATGCACACAATCTTTCTCCTGGAAAATTACGGGCTTTGGCAGTGGCCCAGTGTCACAGGCTCCGGACAAGTAGCCCTAGATCCACGAGAAGCGCCACTAGAACCGCCAGCAGATGGGAAATTGGGTCGCGCGCCACACAGGCGACAGCAAGCGGCTGAAACATTTTTGTTTTCAGCTTTGGCACATACAGTTTCAAGGTTTTCCCTGGAGAAAATAAAGAGAGAGGGAGAGTGAAAGCGGGAAGGGGAGGGGCCAACGCTTTGGCTGCCTTGGCTGGCATTTTTCTAATTTTCTAGCTGAACATTTTTTATGCATATTTTTTTAGTGCCACTGTCGCTGCTTCCTTTGGCAAATAAAGGATTTGGCTTATGCGCGCTCTATTTGTGGCCACTTTCCTTGGCTCACATTGCACAAACCACAGCCACCCCGCCGACCCCCCTGCAGACCGCATTAAATAATGCAGTGAGTGGGCGGAAAGGGGGTGTGGCGAATGAAAAATGGAAATTGTTGCTGATAAAATCACAGAGCTATCAGCAGAAGAAGCAGCACCAGGAGCTGTTGCCGCATTGCAGCCGCAGTGGCAGCCAAGCCACCCACATTGCCACCCTCCCAACCACCCAGCCACCCACTTTTCCAACCTGCCACACAACATCCTTGCTGCCTTGCTGTCATCATTGCAAATGTTGCAGCGACAAAATTATGCCTGCATGTGTGTCCGGGTATGTGGAGCGTCAGCATCCCATGTTGGCTGAGCGGAAGCCCCACAGGGATTGAACCTAAAATGTCAGAGGCATCAACGTGATCTGGATAATGTGGTGGCTGCGGCTGCCACGCCCCCCTCTTCCCACTCTCCACCCCTCTTTAGTCCCCAAGCCAACAAATTGCAGTGGATTCGCATAACCCACAGCCACCCAATCCACCCAACCGCCTTCGAGTGTCGCAAACTAAGCAATGATTGGCCTTAACTATCGACATGTGATGCCAGCGCATATTTGCATATATGTAAGGATGTGCGGCGACATCGGATTCCTTAAACGTTACTTAACCGGGATGCAGCTCCAGGGATCTGGCATGTAATCGATAGGGGAATGCCTCAACGGGCTCTGCTCTCCCTGGCCAATTTGAAGCGAATTTGACAAGGAATTAGACAAATTAAGATGTCTTTTGACTTAAATAGAGAGTATTATTTTAATACCATAAAATATAGAAAGTGGTTTTTAATATCTTACGAATAGTAATAGTATGGTGTTACGAATAATAAAAACTTTTCATACATCCCATCAAAATAAATAAAATATACATATTTAATTACTTTTTTATAATAAAAACAAAAACCGATTATATTATGCTAATCAAAGCAATTGAATGCCAAAAAACCAGCGCAGTGTATTAGGCTATTCAGGTTTTTTTTACACGTTTAAATGTACGTTGGCAATTGATGATTCCATAATGAAGGTATGCAAATATATGAAAACGCACGCTGATGGCCTGGATAGTATCTCTTCTCCCATCTGGGACAAATTAAATATACATTACCCGCCCCATGTAAACACAACGGTGTTTCCGATGGTTAAACAAACGAATCAAAAATCTATAAATAAATATTTATACTTCTGTGGGGTGTTATTTTTTGTTGATACAGAGAGAAAGAGAGAGGTAAAATCTGATTGGCACACTATGCTGCAGGAGTATCGATGACTTTTATTTGATTACGAAAATGGAGAAGCAACCTCACTTAATTCACTTAGCATATATGCACATTTGCATACATATCGTTCTGCCATGAGTGATTCTAATTTGAATTGCCTGTTTCACAGTTCACTTCGTAATAATTCAATCTACTGTGCACCGACATCCATCTCCACGTATCTGTCCTCGTACGCATGCACATAATTACAGCTCCCTGCACTTTCCCCATCCTCTTCAATCCCTACAATCCCATATCCCAGGAATCCGATACACCCATGTATTCGTATACTCAGATTGCGTTCCCACCGCAATTTAATTGTTCACACGGCGTTGCTCGATTCACTCACGTGATTAGCCATTTCCAGGCGAATCAATATACTGCTGGTGTTCGGATACACTCAGAAAAACAGTGGTTTTAAAACTCAAAAGGAATTTTATACAATTGAATCCTCACCCAAAAAAAAAATCGACTGAAATCGCCCTTGGTTTTAGAAAATCGCCTATGAATTTGCTTTACTGGCGATTTTGTCTATATTAAAGAAAGTAGGTTTTTAAAATCAAGGACGTTTTTTTCTAAAAATCAAAAAAAAATAGACTGCAATTTAGAAATATTTTGCTAGAAAGTAAAAAATTATTTCTTAGAATTTAGAAATAAAGGTTTTCTAAAAAATAGAAATACGGTTTTTTTTAAATATAGACAAATATTTTTTAAATAAAATAAAAAAAAATTCCTCAAATTCAGAAAATACAAAAATCTATTTTCGGGCTTCGGAATTATACCCGTTTGTTTCTGTGACGCCACGGCCTTTGTGTTGTTTTTTTTTTCGTTCTTGTTTGTCACCTTATTTTAATTTCCTTTAATTGAGCACATGGGTGGTTTCAAATTGGAACTGAAATGAGTGTACAAATTACAAATTATAAATATAAAAACCCAATAACTTACTATTTTGAGAAAAACATCTTTGGTCGCCGCACGCGGGATTCGAACCGCTAACCGCTCGCGCCTCACAGTTTGCAGTCAAGCACTCTACTAGCTACGCCACGGAAGCATCACGTGAGGCGCTGTACAAAGTCTATTCACATTTTGTTCTCCTATTTTTACTCAAATTGATCTGGCTTTCTTCTGGTTATTCCTTTTAGTTTATCATTTAATTTTACTTTTAAATATTAATTGATTAATATTAATATTTATATATTTATTATTTATTATGGTTCAATAGTAACAGTAATTGAATGTTTCAAATTTGAAAAACTTAAACAAAATGCAATACATTTTTTTTATTAATATGTAACTATTAGTGTTAAAAAAAAACAAACAGACACCACGAGTTTTTCGTCTCGACGTGGGTTTGAACTCACTCTTGCAGCCGCAAGCTTGAATAACATATGCATGCACGCACGCGTTAGACCCCTAGGCTACCAATCCCGGAAATTTTCTTCGATTAATAGCGATTTTTTCTTAGGCTAAAAAAAACTTTTCTAAAAAGTCTATAAGAAAGGAAATCGATCAAATACGGTTAAATTTTTTATTTTCTAGAAAAATATTTCTTAATATCACACATTTTTTTCAAAATGTTAGAAAAATCTTCAAAAAATTTTTCTGTTATTAGAAAAACAATATTTCTATTATGTAGAAATATTTATAATTTTAATGGCAATTTTTTTTTGTTTTAGAAAAGTTCAGTCTTTTTTTTTCTAAAATCAATGGCGATTTTAACCCTCAAAAAAAGAAAGGATGATTAGAAAAATAAACCTTATAATTTAGAAAAAAATTGATTTTTCTGTATTTCAGAAAATATTTTCTAAAAAAACTCGTTCAATTCAGAATTTTTTTGAAGATTAGAAAATTTTTCTGAAGATTAGAAAATTTTTCCTCTTTATAGAATATTTTTTTGAAGCACAGAAAAAATTTTTTTTTCTATATTTAAGAAAAAATAATTTTTTGAGTGCTCTTTTAATTTCTTATGTTTCGTAATCTTTCTATTTTCATTTAGATTTTTGCTCAATGTATCCATGAAGTTCTATCCCGAGTGTAAAATGCTCTGGAACAGATTCACTTTACCTCTTCGATTTGCATATGCAAATGCGCAATATCGCTAATAAAAATGTGGGGCACGTATCGCACCCGCAGGCGTGTTTTATTCTCGCTCCAGGCAAGTCGTCCTGATTACCGGGACCAAGGGGCGGATACGTAATCCATGAACTTACCTTGGGGGTGGCCACCGCGTGGGCTCCATCGTAGACTAGCAGATGATCGTTGCAGTCGAGCTGCAACATGTCGAAGCGGAGCATGAAGCGCTGCAGCACCGAGTGCGTCTGGAAGGTGATGATGCAGTCCAGATTCCTCTCGTTCTGCGACCAAAGAACGGCCCCGTCGATTTTCCGATATAGTTGCTGCAGGAAGTGGTTCTTGCACAGCGATTGCATGTAGTCTGAAAGGATGAAGGATAAATAAATTATTAGTTTTATTCGTAATATGTATTTTATTATTTAAGAAATATTTATCCATAGGTATTACTATTAAAATTAGTTTTTTTAATGGAATTCATTTTCTTATTCTTTATTGCCTCAACTAGTATAAAATATAATAAATACTGCACAATGGAATACTAAAGCCAGCTATTTACAATGCCTACTAAAAATGTGGAAGAACGTAGGGAAGTTAGGACCCAAGGGATCTCCCAAATTGCTGATTTCCTTCTGAACCCTTTTTAGAATCATCCAGTTATAATATTTATAAATAATACTGTTTGCACAAAAATTAACCCATAATATTTACCAAAATATCCCTCATTCGATGCCATTTTTATTGGCTTAGCTTGGTGACATCTAAACTGGTTAAAAATAACACCTATTTTCTACTTGCAACTTAATGCAGCACACTCTGTACATATTTTGCTTAATATTTCCATAACCCACATATAGGATAAGCTCAGCTGCTCAGCTGCTCCGCCCACCACGTAGGCAACCACCCAGCAGGCCCCCAGAAATCTGCAGGACGTCTCCGCTGGCAACTTCCTTTGGCTTAATGGCGTTGCGGCGTCTCGTGCGCTGCGCCGGAAAATGTGCACTTAAATTTTAATGGAAGGATGAAAAATTCATTTACGCTTCGCCTGCGCGCTTTACTTGCACATGTTTCCGTGCTCACTAGTTGCGTTTATTATGCCTTTCCCGACTGCAGTTTGGCAACTGGATGCGGGGGATTTGCATAATGCCTGATCACAAATTCAACGCACACGTTAATACCTAATCCACTTGTAAGCCGAGAAAAAATAAGATTACAATTTAATTTTTGGAAAACCAACTGCTACAAAAATATTTAAAAATGTAAGTTAGTAATTTGAACTTAAATAGCTGTTTCTATCATCCTGAAATATCTACAAACTTCCCCCACCGTTGGCCACTTTCCGTGATAAGTTTGAATGGTCCAAGGGGACAGTTTCCGTGCTAAACTTTTAATTTGCCGCGGCTCAATCAAAACGACCTCAACGAGGAGCAGCGCCAGAAAGTCGAGGCCAGCTGCAGACAAGCGGCAATGCGAGAATAATATCGCATTATTTAAGCAACTTTTAATTAGTTTGATGGCGCAAACTATGGCGCTTAAGTGCCAAATGCATTAACATGAAACGAGAGCCATTTGGAGGAGCAGTTGGCCAGTGGACAGCGTGGCATGCAAATGAGCCGGGGACTCCTGGACTCCTAAAACGAAGGCAGGACATCGGGGCGGGTTTTAAATGAAACACAATAATGTGTGTGTGTGTGTGGGTGGGTGAGGGGGGTTAATGGGCGGTGGGTGGTTCAGTCCACCCCCTCAGCTTACGTGCGCCTGATTTCAGGCAATTTCCTGCCTAGCAACCGCTTCCGCTCCCGCCGCCGCACTAATTCAATTTCGCCCCCAATAAAACGCACACGAAAAGATGACGCCGCATCCTGGCGAGCTGAGATGTGGAGCAGAGCAGGGAGCAGGGAGCTCTAGCAGGAGCACGCCCAGGGAATTTACTACAAATTCGTTTTACGCCCTGCACTGGAAGCACCGAAAGCAAAAAGAGCCATCATGTGAGCTCCCTGGTAGAGGCTCCCCTGCAAATGCCTCATTTTCGGTCACAAATGTTGTCGTCGCCGCGTTTGCCAACTTCAAAATTGAATTCACAATTTGGATTGAATTGCTGACAGACCTGGCTGCCCTTTGTTTTAGCCCCTATTGCTTCACTACACGGAGAGAAATTGAAAAGGATTATTAAGTAGTTAAAAAGAGAAAATGGTAGCATACTTTTTGGGGTAAACCATTTTGATATTTTCTAGGGAGCATTATTGTAATTTACCTATATTTTATGTAAGGTACAGCACCTTTACAACATTAATTCTAACTAATATTTCTATATTTTTAAACCGGAACTGCTTATATTTTTCTTCACCTGCATCTCCTCCGCAGAAAAAAGGCTCCCAACTGCCTGACTAGGTAGACAGTTTTTCCTGCTTTATATGTAATTGGCAATTTCGTTACACATTTCGCTTTGATCTCCGGCAAAGTAAATAGCAGAGTGTAGCAAAGAGCTGAGCTGGGCGTAAAGCGGGGGCGTGGCACCGCCCCTCCTCCTTTGCCACCTGAACAAATTGGCCGCAAGCCACTTGGTGAGTAATTTTCCGTGGCCTTTCAGGCAGTGGAAATTTTTGGAGCCAGCTTTTCCGGCTAGCTTCTGAACATTGCTTAACATTCAGAATTCTAGTGAATAAACAAGCGAGAGAAAAATAACTCGCGAGTCATGACCTTAACGAGGGATTAACAGATTAGCGTTAAGTAATGGCTCACAATCATGATACCAACGAAATATGACCGAAACATAGCGACCAGTTTGTTTTAGGACTGCCTAATGGCATTTTCATTACGGTTGGCAGTCAAATAATATTTTAAGGGAGTTTTTATAAAACTATTTAAAATGGCATTCTAAAAGTCCCTAGAGAATGGTGTTATATGTGCTATAAACGTATTGAAAGAAATGTTGCAGTAAACTTACGAAAGTTCTCATACTAAAGTCAAGATATAATTTCAAATGAGCCAAAATCCCTAAACACATTCTTACAACGGACTCTGTAGTTTTGAAAAATGACATGACTTTTGGTTGGAATTCGGCTGGAAGAGATTTGCGCTGCACTCCTGAATATGTATATCAGAAGCTATGTTATCGGAGCCCCTCGTTCTGATAAATTCACTTGCAGCTGCTGCCGGTTGAATAATTTCACTCAGCTGGGAGTGGAACATCGACAGCGACAAATGGGGCAGCACAGAGGAGCGCAGAGATGAGATCCATGTGCATCTGTATCCGCATCCGTATCTATGCACATATATCTGCATCCCATATGGCAACCAGAGGAGGGGGCCAAAGTGGGAAATAGAAATAGAATTTCTGCACAATTTGGCACAGAGATGGGGGGATGAGCGGTCTGGGGATTGGCGATGGAAAGCACAAGGAAATGAACCGGCAGAGACAATTGTAAAATATCAATTACGTTGTGTGGAGTGAAAATGGAGCGCAAAGTGCTCGGTTGCCGCTTCCGTTATCATTGGCTCCTAGGCGGCCAGAAATCCCTCAATCATTTCTGGACAGGATTGCGAGTGGAGGAGTGGGGGGTGTGTTTACCCCCATGTACGTATCGGGATTATCATGCATCTGCGCTGAGCCCCCGGGGGAGGGAGATATACCGAGATAGATAGGGGGCGGAAACACTCGAAGGGAGTGGAAGTTCGAAGTTGGGCAAAGGACAAGAGCAAATCGTGGCTGCCTTCGGGTTGTCGGTTTGGTTTTCTGTGTGAAGTGAAAGACAAACGAAAGCCGCGCAGGACGTTGAAACCCATGTGACATCCATGGCAGCCCCGGGATGGAGATGGAGTCCTTTCCCATCCAGCAGATACATTTTCTATAAATTAAGGCATTTCTGACACAAATGTTGGCAGCTTCAGGGAAAACAATTCCATTTGCCGACGAGGAGGCGACATCGCGGATCTGGTGGCTGAAATTGCAACATGCTTCAAGTTCAGCCTTTTCATATGCCAACTGCATGCACTGAGAATAAATTTGTGGCAAAAAGTAATAAATAATATTGAGCTTATAAAACATAAATAATTTATTTGTGCATATATGTAATATTTCTTAAATAAATTATCTTATATATTTAGTAATGATTTAAAAATTAAATAAAATTTTCCTTTCTGTGTCCTCGCATTGAGATATTCACACATAAGTATGTTTATCTTCAATTTGTTTATGCATTCGCTGGGAAAAAAGGAGGAAAATAAATGGGAAGCAGCAGAGAACAGATAACGACATGGAGCAAAGCGGGAAAAACCACTTGGATTCGGAATGAAAACTCGGACTGGGGGCAGGGATTAGTTTTGATGGCTGGGCAGCAAAAACACAGGAAAACGGCATTTTCGAAATTAGGGATAATGCCGGGCTTAAATCCCGAGAGTGTCCCACATCAAAAGGGAGATGGCTCAGAACCGAAAAAAGAAATTGCTCAATCTGGTCGGCATGTTCATGAAAATATCAAATCCAAAACCGACTGAGCCTCATCTGCCACTCAAAGCCAATTTTTCAGTTAATGGCCGGGATTACTCGCTGGGAATGTCATTTGCCTTAGCTGAGCCACAGCCAAAAGGATTAAAATTGGCATAATTAATTTGGGAGCTTTGTTTCCGCGTTATTAATTGACTAATAATGCCATAAGATCTGTTTCCAGGGAGCCGAGAGTCGTTTTTTGCCAGGACTGCTTCTTCGGACTTATCTTGATGGTTAAAATCCCTCGATTGCCACAGGCAATTCGCAAAAAATCTGCAAACGTCCAAGTTGTGGGTCGTCACCATAACTCGCGGCACTCGGAATCGCATTGGTAATGGCCCTTGCAGGAGTGGAGAAGCTATTCAGCAGCTTAATGCTTCCGTTCGAGGATGGCTAAAGGATGGCTAGAGGATGGCCGGAAGTGTTTGGTGCACCTAAATGTGTTTTGGCCCAAACTCCAAATGCAGTTCTTTCTCCCTGGGACACTAGATGTCTTCGTTGGCTCTGGCTGGAAAATGATGTTTACTCTGCTTTCTAACTTGGCCCTGCTCCAGTTTCCTTGGGATTCCTTGGACCTCCACACACATGGACCGAAGCTCGCAAATAAGGGGATCCTTAACTACACCGAGACAATCATACTTGTATTTCCCATATTATTTAAATTTTGTTTATCAGCATAACCAACTTACCTAAACCTCAAATTTACTTTTTTTTCTTGGTATAACTTTTATAACCTTATTTTGTTTATATCAGGTTTAACCATTCTTGATTTCAATGCTTTTTTTTTCGTGTAGCTTTATGCCATTTTCCTCTTGAATACTTCGAGTCATCGCCAGTACCGTCACCTTGAGAGCATTGACAAATATATAGAACTAAGCTGCAAGCTTTGCAGACTGAGAATTATTATATTCGTTGACTCACGTAAACAAGCGAGCATTTCCCAAAGGATATTTCCAAGGATAATCACTGAGCATGGCAAATACGCTAGCAGGTATATTGCAATGGCAAACGTTAGGTTCATTTGATGAATTTAACTTTGTGCCAAACTGTGATTAGAGAAAGTTTCGAAGATGCTTTGGCAAATATTTCGCTGGCTCGGCAAAAGTTCGGTTGGGAAAAACAAAATATACGAGGAGGACTTCAATATTTATTGACTCTTCATGTTTTAGTTGGTAGTTCAATAAAGTGGTTAAATCAGTTTTAACTTTTTCGGCCATAGACTCCTCATACGGATGAATTTGAAAAGTTCTTCAGCTATTTCAGCAGTTAGTCAGGTACTTTTCCTCGACTTTGCAGAAAGCGGAGAAATAACCAAGTATATTTATATAAGTTTAAAATTAGATTAAAGGAGCATCAGCAAGCATCCCTAATAAATCAAAATCCCTCAAGAAACTGCCTGCAATAACTTTGGCATTTTAATTTATTCTTGTTAATCAAGGGGTTTATTTAATTAGCCTTCTTCTACGAAATTCTCCTTGAACCCGGCCAGCAGGCTAATGCCCATTTAAGGGCTTATACTTAGCATTTCCTGCAGCCCGTGAGCCCCAGACATCGGGATGCAAATTTAATGTAAATATTTTAAACTAATTTTCAGTGATTATGCAAAACCACAAATAAATCTGCAGCAATGGAATACCGGAGGATGCCCACCGTGGATGGTAGATGGTAGTTGCTGGTTGCCACAAGGAGCAGTGGCAACAATGGCTGGCTGGAGGTAACGAAACCGCAACCGGGGCAAGCTTAGTGCGTGCCCCAAAGCGAGGATTGGTCGAAAGTTTCGTGGGCGGGTTGTACGAGGGGCATGTAAATGTAGTGGGGATTTCGGGGGGCTTCTGGGGGTCAAAGTGGGTTCTGCTGCTCTGCTCGGTGCTGTGGCAAAAACTTTGGCCCGAAATCTGTTCGGTTTTCGATCATCCCCCCTCCTTTACTCCGGATGTGCCCGGCAACTTGGCTGCAACAAAATAATTTCGCTGGCTCGTTTGTCAAACTAATGGCAGGAATTTGAGCAATTTAAGCAACAAAGGTTAAACAATGAATTTCCTGTGCTTCGATATTGAATTTTACTGGGCCCCAAGTGACCCTCGGCGTCCGTGTGAAGTCATTGCCCTCACCACTAAACACTGTGGGGAAAGTAAATGGCTTACAAAATCTTTAAATCCTTCACTCTTTACATTCCCATATCCTAAGACTAATGATATCCAAGATTATCAATTTAAAATAAACTTTGCATATGATTTTAGGATAAGAAACTACAAACTTGAAAGAAACTTGTAAGCTGCTTAAAACTCAATTACTATTGAAAAATCGTGAAAAAAAGAGTGCTTATTTATTTATTCTCTGATTAAGAGGTAATTATAAATTGCCTATAACCTTGGTATTTATTTTAGCTAAAGCTGCTGTGGCCTTAAGCTATGTTTGTAAATAAAATATATAGTTAACCAGTTATATATAGTTAAATAAATATTTAGTTAACCATTAAATACAACGGGAATTTATAAAAGAGTTATTAAACCAAAAATTTTAAAGAATGTGAAATTTATTTTTTATTTTCAACACATTTTTATCTGAATTTCTAATTATTGTGTAAACTTGCGGATAAAAAACTCAAGCTCTAAAGAATTGCTTTGAGTGCATAATCGCACAACCTACGCTCCGTACAGTTGACTAAGCCGGAGCTGCTGGCTCCGACATCTGGTGCCGGACTCACACGCTCCATTAGCGCCACCGAAATTCGATGGCATCTTGGAGGCACTGGCCCGATGGCCACAAGGACTCGCAGATGACGCCCCAGGACTTGTGACGCTGCTGTTGCTGCTTTAATGAAATAATTGAAGTAAATGCCTTTCGCCTGGACGACTCCGACCGACCAGCTCATCCGTCGGAGGCGTTTGCATAATGAGCATAATCTCCATTCAGGCTCTGTCCTTCTCTCCACGTGGCTCATCGAGCTCCATTCGCCGCCGGCGGTTTGTCAAAGTAATTGGGCAATTTGCGTGGCGCATTGGACAGGGCTTTTAAGTTCCGTGGATATTTATGCCAGTCGGCAATTATGACAGGTCGCATTAGCTCGTAATTACCCAATGATTGTAGTCCTGCCACGTGAACTACTTAGCCTGCTCATCAGTCATGATTTGGTGGGAGTGAGGCGTCCTGTACTTTGAGTCGAATCAATTGGAGATGTGACAAAGTTAATACAAAGTTAATTCCCGAAAATTCCCGGGATGTCGCTTGGTTTTTAGTAAACTCTAATTGCTATCGATGGACTTCCTAAGGGGATTTATGGTATACTAATTATCTTGATGGAGAACGATAGATCACTTAAATAAAAGGCTAAAAAGGGCTTGCTAATTAACACGAGAAATAAAAGAACCCATTTCCATTATTTCAATTTCCAATTTCATTATAATGTTCCTTTATTACACTCAATGAAAGGTAATATTTCAGTAAACCTACTCGCTAAATGTCAAGTGGCTTTAGAAAGTTTCACTTTAGTAACCGCCGGAAAACAGAGTACACCGTAATGAAGATCTTCCAGGACATTCAAGCTATAGCCAGGCCCTCGCAGATCTGCGCCCTGCTGCCGCTTTATAGTGGAGATGACGAGGAGAGCTTTCGGTTGGGCGCTTTGGGTCGCTGGTACGGACGTCTGGTGGCCCTGATTATACTGGCCAGCTCGATGACCTTCGGCGAGGACGTGCTCTTCGCCTCCAGGGAGTATAGGTTGGTGGCCAGTGCCCAGGGTGACACGGAGGAGATCAACAGGACCATCGAGACGCTGCTCTGCATCGTCAGCTACACGATGATGGTGCTGTCCAGTGTGATAAATGCCTCTCATCACTGTCGCACCCTGCGAGATATTGCCAAAATCGATGAGTATCTGGTGGTCAATGGTTTCCGGGAGAGCTACAGCTGCCGCAATCTGAGCATCCTGGTCACCTCGGCTTCTTCAGGGGTTCTGGCTGTGGCCTTCTACTACATCCACTATCGCAGTGGCATTGCCTCCAGGAAGCAGGTAATCCTGCTGCTGATCTACTTCCTTCAGTTGCTCTACTCCAGTGTCTTCGCCATATATCTGCTGACCATACTGAAGACCCTGGCCCAAAGGATTGCATTTCTCAACCGAAAACTGGATGCGTTTGGCCTGCAGGATAGCAGTGGTAATGTGGAGAACTGGCGAGAGCTGAGCAATCTCATAGAGGTGCTCTGTAAGTTCCGCTACATCACCGAGAATATGAACTCGGTGGCTGGAGTGGCGTTGCTATTCTACTTCGGTTTCTCCTTTTACACGGTGACTAACCAGAGTTACCTGGCCTTCGCCACCCTGACGGCCATTTCATCGAGTTCCCAGAGAGAAGTGGCGGATACCATGGGTCTTTCGTGTGCCTGGGTTCTGGCCGAGACCATTACGATGGCGGTGATTTGCAGCGCCTGCGATTGCCTGGCCTCCGATTCAAATGGTACGGCCCAGATCCTGGCCAGGGTTTACGCGAAGAGCAAGCAGTTCCAGAACCTCATCGACAAGTTCCTCACCAAGAGCATCAAACAGGATCTGCAGTTTACCGCCTACGGATTCTTCTCCATCGACAACTCCACGCTTTTCAAGATCTTCTCGGCTGTTACCACCTATTTGGTAATCCTCATTCAGTTCAAACAGTTGGAGGACTCCAAGGCGATTGAAATTTGAAAACTTTGTTTTATTATTTAAACAACTTTGAAACTAAAATGCATTAAACAAATTCTAAAGAAGTGAAAGTTTTAATTTTTAGAATTTATTTAAGTTCTTGGAAGTTTCCAAGTTATGAAATGTTAAGTTAAGGAATATTTCTAAGACTATCGTATTTCTGAATTTTAAAATTTATATAAACGAGACTAGTAGCTTTCCTGGCTACTGATCAAAAAATTATATTTACTTTTTTCAGCTATTAAGTGGTATTACATTTATAAAGTTTACTTAATTAAAAAACATTTTCATTTGTTGATCAAATAATATTGTGATTGTTTTCTTAAAAAATGTCTTTTTTTAATCCCTTAAAATTCCGAATACACTAATCACTTCTGTACACTTTTCTTTTATTCAAAGCGGAAAGAGAAAATGAGGTTTCTGTGTACCGGTTGCCTACACCCGATTCCGGTGTTAAGTGCCACAGTACCTACACCATAATTTGTCTGGGAGCTACGTGATGGAAATCAATAACATGCTGACAGCTGCAATTTTTCCAAAGCTCCCCTCCCCGGTTGGCAAACAAACATTGCAATGCGTAGGGCTCATCAAATCATGGTCTCGATGTCGGGAGTCCTGCGGAGGACGCACCGGGGGCCAAAGGGCATGCCACGTGCAACTTAAACGCATCATTAAACTTTTGTCACTTTTCAGAATGTGGCAACCTCAGACCAGAGGCACTCGAGCGTGCGGCCAAGATGAAGTGCCAAACTAATGAAGGAACTATGGGGCATCTGGGGCAACCGAGGGGGCGGAACGGGGGCGAGCGGCCACCAGCAGGAGCTGGCGAAAAGGACATGCCTCAAATGGGCCAGACGATAAGATTCACCCAAGTCAGACCAAGTCGCCTGTCTCTGGTGCTTTTCCCTTCCATTTCATTCCACGGCAATAATCAAGCGAATTGTCGCTTGTCAAAATGTTTGAATAGTCAAAAGTTTCACAATTTATTTCACTTTTTTTCCGAAGGCAAGGCTCAACTTCGATGGCAGTGACTAAATACACTATGCAGCATCAAAAATTAACCTCGATGAATGCTATATTTTTGGATTCGTTACGAATTCCCAAGTTAAACTGCGTTTTCCTAAAAGTTCCCCGACGCAAGGATTCTTAGCAAAAGGACCTCAAAGTTCGAAAAATGCTGAAATTGACCAACTTTGCGGAGCTCTCAGAGGAAAATGGATGCATGGCTTGGTTCGAAGTTAAAGTTTTTTAAAAGATACACCCTTTATCTTTCGAACCCCATACATAAAATAATTTTAGGATTTTGTTTAAGGCAGAAATAAATTCCAAAAAACATAGTCAAAAAACTGAAAAACATACAGCTGCGGTCAAAATAGTAGCAGTGTTGCCGCCTTGTGTTTTTAAAAGTTTGATGTTGTAATTTTTTCTTATCCAATTAGTCTAATAGTAAAATTATAATCAATACAATATTACCAGGAAAAGATCAATTACAACAACAAACTTTTAAATACACAGAGCGGCAACACTACTACCATTTTGACCGCAGCTGTATACTTTTTTGTTTTTTGACTATGTTTTCTAGAATTTGTTTCTGCCTTAAACAAAATCTTAAAAATTTTTTAAGTATAGGGTTTAAAAGATAAAGGGTGTATCTTTTAAAAAACTTTAACTTCGAACCAAGCCATGCATCCATTTGCCTCTAAGAGCTCCGCAAAGTTGGCCAGTTTCAGCATTTTTCGAACTTTGAGGTCCTTTTGCTAAGAATCCTTGCGTCGGGGAACTTTTTGGAAAACGCAGTTTAACTTGGGAATTCGTAACGAATCTAAAAATATAGCATCCATCGAGGTAAATTTAAAAAGCACTAAAAATGCTGCACAGTGATATTATTTAAATCGATCGCAGAAAATGCGAAGAGAAATCTGCTTCGTTAAGTAACAGTAATTAATATCATTTGAGAAATTAGATTTTAATATTATTATAAGAAAATCAGTAATTTTATTGTATGAGCATTATTTAGACGTGCTTTTAATAGTCTTTAACTAAGATTTATCATAAAAAACTTGCCAATATTTTTTTAAACTTATAATACCCTACTTACTAGTATTTTTAGCTACTTATTTAGTTACTATTGAAAGTAACTCGGCTTAATACATTTCTTGAAATAAGAGTAACTTTCTCCGTGCATCGTAGCTACTTTCACGTCGAATGGTCCCAGGACCTGATTCTATTTTTTCTGATTGAACAAACTTTTGCGCTTTTTCGCTTGCAAAAGGCAGTTTAATTATGCGCGCCTCTCAACTTTTCATTAAGAACTTGTCAGCGAGCTCTCAAGTTGTCATGCAGCCATCGAAGGGCTACTCAATCCGGGGACTAGATCATTTCCGGCCAACACAACCCTGGATGAGAAGGTAAGCTCCGATGAGTAAGCCCCCTGGCTATGCGATGTGCGGAAAAAAGGACCGCGGGGCTTTTGTTTATTTTCGGCCCTTACAAATTGTTAATTAAATTTCGCACTGCCCCTCGCCGGCATCGCCTGGACTTATCTGGCCTACAGAGGGCGCTTAAATACATTTTTCGAAAATCATTTTTCCCTTTATTAATTCCATTTTTGCCCGGTGCTGCGAAACAAAGCGAAAACTTTTTGCATAGTTTCGCCGGCGAGTTTAGCTTTACCGTTAGTTTATTACGCCATTGTTGGTGCTGCTGCGTCTTTCCTCTATTATTTTTGTTCCTACTTTTTTGCTGTTTTTTATTATTGTTGTTTACTTATTTCGGTGCTATTGTCTAGGCGCTTCTTGTAATATTTTTCTTTCAGCCACCGGCCACGCCCACTGGTCGCCGCCCTCTAGGAATCTTAGCTGTGGAAGATAATTTCGCCTCTTTGTTTTGCGGGCGCGTGGATTCTCTGTGCAACGCCTAAGTGGATCACGCGCACACAAACTCGCATACTAAGGACACAGGACACAGCAAATATATATAAATATATATATAGAGGAGAAATCCCTGCCCGAGAAAACCCCGCCGATACAAAGCCCATCATCAGGAGGACACGAAAGAGGTTTGGGACTCGCAGTGGATTTTTCTTGAATAGAATACAATTTTCTGTGCATTTGATTACAAAAGGGATTCATGTGCTTAACTGAAGGCACAATGCCCGGAATGTTCAACTCATTTTATGCCCCTTTGTGGCCCATTTCCCACACTCTCCCTCTTTTCTCGTTCCGCCAGGATTTACGGAATTCATCAATGCAATACTCAAGGCTTCAGTATTTGGCTTCAAGGTTTCCAAATTAAATTTTGGAATTTGCTTACACTACAGCAAACGAATTGTTTTTGGTTGACAAAACCTTATGTTGCCAATTAAAATAGGTCATATTTGTCAATTCAAATTCAAGTAAATAATGGGAATTTATTTTTGTTGTTTTATTATTTGGACGTAAGCCTCAAAATTAAATATTTGTCACAATAACTTAATAGGATAGGAATTTGAAAAAACAATACAATTCAAGCGAATATTTGTATATTTTAAACACCGCTTTAAAGTTTAAACAGTTTTCAATCTGAAAAAAACATTATTCAATTTGAAAAAAAATTAGTTTACCAATAAGTTGGTTTATATGAATAAACGGATTGGTTGACAACAAGTAAGCCTTTTGAAGCCAATTAAAAATGGCCCAAAAGTTGGTAAATTCCCCAAATTCAATTTGTCAGACCCAATTCGAGCAATTGACAGAAAGTGTGTTTTTTTGGGAATACATAAATTAAATTTAGCAATCGTTTTGGCGGGGCCAGTGGGCCAGGGGCGTGCACTCACATATGTATTGCATTTATCGACCGATTTCGTATAATAAGCGATTACCTACTGCCACTCCGGCAGCAGAGCGGAAATATTGATAAATGATCCGCCCGCGTTCGTGGACAATTTCACAAAACCAATTCGCATCGAACGAATTCATTGTTCGGTGTTTTGGGGGCTCGGGGCTTCTATGGGATCGGGAGGGGCCTTTTTGGCAATGACACCATGCCGCGGGATGCCAACGCATCAATACTCGATTTGGCATCGCTCCCTCGCAAATCCCACCGCCCAACTTCGCCTCCCCAATTTCGCCCCGAGTTGCGAACTACAAATGGAATTTATTATGCGTTGCCTGATTTCTATCCGCTGGCTGCAATTTATCTTCCATAAACATTTATCTGCGCATTTGACTGTGACCTGTGCCCGTTCTCCAGGGATCGCTAAGCAGCTGAGTCATCGTCACTCAGCCAAGATTTATTATTAGTGGGAAGGGGGGACTGAAAACAAGGAGGTCAAAGGATATCATGTCACATAATCATCCATTTAAAATTTTAAATTATATTTATACCACTTTTTTATTTTTTAATCTTATTCGGAAACACTTAGGATAGAGATATAGACATTTAAATATTACTTAAAATTTTATTTATCATGTGACATATTTAAAACCGCCAAGAAAGAATCTTAAAGAATTAAATATGCATGAGTTGCGGGCTAAAAAAAAACTTGAAATCTCTTTAGGCAAATAAGAAGGGTTGTTTTAAAAGCCAGTTCTTATGCATTCTCCAAGTTCATCCATTTTAAATCTGACATAAAGGGGTTAGGCATTAGGGAATTTAAGTCAAATAATGCCAGTCACAATTAATCAAGATATGCCAGACAATCATTTCCTCACTTAGGGAAGTTTGCAGGCAGTGAAAGGAAAGCGCCGCCAGATGATTGCTGCGGCTTGTAACAAATCTCATTTCGTATGCGCAAGGACTTAAGCAAAATTAAAATTTATTGCCCATGGAAAGTCCCTGTTCCTTACCCCTTAGCCCTTTTCCCCTCCCCCCTCAGCCCTTTCGCCTTTGTGAACTCAACCGTTGACGTGGGAAGACCGCATTGGACTCCTCGGCTAAAACTCATTTTGGAATATTTGTATGTAGGAGACGGGTTGGGGTATATGCCGCAGTGGACCAGTTGGTCCCACTTCCATTTCCACTCCGAGAACCTCCGGCTCCTAAGCCTCAGGTCCAAATCCATTCATTCATATTTGTGCCACACAAAGAGCAAAAGTTTTATGCCACTTCTTCGTCCTCGTCGACAGTTGTTTTTCTCACAAATTTATTGGCAGTCGGCCATCAGCTTCTGTTTGAGTTGGACTCGGGGAGAACTGGGAGGAGTTGGAGTTGGATCCCGGAAACGTGACATATTTTCAAAATTGTATAATGCTCGCATTATTGCAAAGAATCGCAAAATGCGATGGAAGAAGTGGTTGGAGAATGGGAATGGTGAACGGAAGTGTGCGAGCTGTCAGTATCCCTCGTCAAAAAACATACGCACTTCCGCCATTACTGAAGAAAAACCAATAAATGTAAAATGCGCATTGAAAATGGAAAAAAGTAACTTCCGAGATTTTCAATTATGTCAAACAAAATGTATAAAAATAAGTAACTAAATAATTTACACAATTAACATAATTTTAAAACAGAAAATGCATTTGATAATCCAACTAAATAAAACGTAGAGTAATTATAAAAATTATATTAATTAAAAGCAGCAACGAATTTGTATGCTTTATATAATTATCATAGATATCAAACTAAAATGGTATTCTACTCCGCATTTCATATTCATTAAAAATGATCGATAACCGCGTGCCTCATTTACCTTAATTGAGCGCCATCCAATTATCAAAATTCGAGAACCTTTCGTAATATACTTGTAAATATATGGTTATATAATTACCAGCAAATATCGCACACATAATTGTAAATGGAGAGTTAACAAGCCTGTGAAGGCAAATTTCCGGTTTGGTGACAGTCGAAAAGTTTTGGTACCCTTGGTACATATACTATGAAGAGCTCACACAAAGTAATTATGAAAACCACTTGCAAATGCCTCCGAAAAAACCTCTTGTATACACATTTATATGCCTACATATACGTATGGTTGGGTATATATTTACTTACGAAAGTAACCGTTTGCAAGTGTTTTGGCAGAATAGAATTTGAGTGAGACCCAACAAGTTTGCCGGAACTCGCTGCTCGTGCGAGTCATTATAAGTTACGCTAATCAAGTTGAACGTGCGACCGCATTCAGTGGGTTGGGAGGGGGGCGGTAAAAGGATGTGGGAGTAGGAGGGCGTGGCCACCAACCGGATGCCTGGCAGACGACACCAAAGTGGCGGGAGCTGAAGAAAGGAAATGACAATTCAAATTAAAGACACCAGTCCAGGAGGATTTTTCGGGGGGTGGCAGAAGGGGCTGGCTGGCTGGCAACGACCACGCCCACCACTCGCATTGCCACTTAACATGAAATTAATTATGAAACTTTTGTGCAAAATTTTGTTGAACGAGTTGAAAAGTCTTCAATGCTGCTCGACAGCGTAATAAGTAGGGGGAAAAATGGAGTTGGCAGGGAGGAAGGGAAAATCGGTGGAAAAGGGGCAGTGGCAGTAAGTATGTGGCCGGTAAAAAAGTTAACGCGCCCCGGCGATGAGCATGGGAAATTAAGTACACGCCACGTGGGCCACAAGTCTGCTGGGGACAGCCGGCGAGGGGGCTGCGGTTCCCGTTTGTGTCTGAGTTTGAGCTTGAGTTGGAGTTGGAGTCTGGGTCTGTGGTCACATAGCAAATAAGGAGCAGCAGGCGCAGGATCAGGAGGACCATTAACAGGAGCAGCCGGGAACGAAGCAACGGCGAATGCAGCTAAACGTCGCCCGGAAATGAGCAAGACAAACGAAATCAGAGCAAGGAACAGTGGTATAAAAGATTACACAAGATATATTTTAAAAAGTTAGGATTAAAGTAGAGTGTTAAAAATATTTTAATTTATTTTTATTAAATTGTAATTTGATTAAAAAATTTTATTTCCTAAATTAAACTAGTTTCACTGTGCCGCAAAGTAAAACCTAGTTAGCATCGACACTCGTCACCAGACTCTTTTCCCCTGGATTCTGCAATTAGGTTGCATCGCCTCCAAGAAGGGCGGAAAATGGAGAGGAAAAGGCAGTTGCGTCAGCAGCAAACCGGAAACAAGCCCAAATAAGTATGCAGCGAACTTTTTCTGCGCCCTCGGCTACAGCAAACTTTTGCAGCGACTCCGCCTCCGAAGCCACGATCCCACTTTCCGACGCAAAGGAGGCGGCGCCCCCAATTGCTGGCATGTAAGTTGTTTTACTTCAAATTTTAATTATGATTTAATGCTAAAATACGGAAATAATTTGCACCAACAACTTTCGTCGCCGGAACGCCAACTGCACACGAGTACGAGGCCCGGAGTCGCGTCGCTCCGCCCGAGTAATTCCATTTCATGGGTCGGCAATTGCGGTCGCCATTCTCTGTTTAGCCGTATCGGGGAAACCATATACATACGGACATGGTTCCGTACCCCTCGAATGCTCCATAATCGGACTACTTCCGACACCAGGCTTGTTAGCTAAAAATTACTTTCCTGAAGGCACGAGCCATGTATTTAAGCTTTAAGGTCTTCTTGCCTATTGTTGTTTCTTGTGTAGTTTCGATCAGTTTGGAATTTGAACCTGATCTATCATAAATTGATCTTTGAATTTTCAGGGCTTCTCAAGATACTAAAGTCGGGTTTAAACCATTTGAAAGTCAAATATCATAGTACCTGACTTAAAGAGCATGTTTAATATCAAATAATTATATTTAGTTAACTAAAAGCTTTCTTTAAAAAATCCCTAAAATCCACCATACTCTCAATTTTGTTGAATATTAAGAAAACTTCTTGAAAAGTATTTTTTTTTTGCCCAAAATGAATGCCTTCGCACGTGCTCTTGTACACATGTAAATACTTTTGTGTGCACGTTGACATTGCATCGTAAAAATGTATTTATTTGTTGTTTATTTGCCACATAAACAATATGCGGAAACCACAAAAGCTTTGCCACACAATGATATTGCCCTGCCATACACATATGCATGTATTTATATACATTTGCGTGAGTGCGTGGTGTTTATATGTTTATAGTTCGAGGACTTCCATTTTTTCCGGATTTTTCCGTTCAGCAACATTTAAATGCACTTTTATTACATTTGCTCAAACAAATTTTTATTGTCGTGCCAAGGAAATGGCACAAAAAACATAAAACTAAGCTGTTGACAGATTTCAATGTACAAGACGAACAAAGTTTACGGAGGGTGGAAAATGTCCACTTAATATGTACATATGCTCGTATAAAATGCGATATTATATTCTGTTATATCAAAATGCAAGGATATATATTTGCATTAAAAGATAAGAAGATATATGGATTATTCCCACATGTATCGTAAATAAAATAAAATAAAAATAAAATATTAAAATATTTCCTAGTAAAATTGCATTATAGTAAAGAAGAATGAACTTTAATTTGTCTAATTTGTTTAATTAAAAAACAATTTTATAGGAATATCTTTAAATATCGGTTATTAAGTTGGATTACAAATTTACAAATACTGCAGATTCAGATATCTTGTACAGTAAATACTTTCCCACTATTACCGAATATATCAGTACTTAATGTTCTATCAATTATCTTTAAATAAGGAGTACTCACAGTGTTTACTCTTCTCGGCGGCCACCTGGCTGTTTGGTGTCTGGGCGAGAATGGCGAAGAGACCGAGGAGGATTAGCAGCCACTGGGGAATGCTCGACCCCGAACTTTGCCTGTGGGCCAGGGTCCCTGACCGGCGAACTGGTTCTCCATCATCTGCCGCTCGCTGGGCAGTTCGGGTTGGGGTTGGGCAGTGGGTGGGCGAGGAGGAGGAGGAGGAGGAGGACGAGGGGCCGAGGTCGATGGGTGGCCCCGGCCCACAGGATGTGGGCATCAACAGCATCGCCGAAGCTTCGGTGGCTCAATTTTCGCGGCTTTCGCTGCTGCTTTCCGGGCTGCCTAAAAAGTTTGCTTCGCCTTTGTTCGCTCGCGCTGATTTTTTGTCACGTTTGTCATTCTCCGGCAATTAGAAGCTTTCATTTATGAATTTTTCTCCTCGCGAATGTGTCGCCTCATTGGAGATTAACGGGTTTGGCCAGCGATCCAATTCCACTCTGCAAACAAAAAGTGCATTTAGTTAGAAAAAATGGCATTCGATGGCTGGAAAAACTGCAAAAGCAATTGGCAACAGCTTGCGGCCATCCAATGATAATGCATAATGGTTGCTGAAATTCATTTTCCGCTCTTCTGACGTTTCTGTATTTTTAGCCAAAGAAATGTGAACCAGTTGAAAGTTTTTTGTTCTTAAAAAATTTATTAAATGTATTACTCCCAATGGGAGGTATAATTTATATACATTTTAGTTATTAAGTACAGAGGAATATAATTTATTATTTTCTTGAGATTTAACCATCACTTATGATCTCCTTTTCCACCGTGGGAAATATTATAATCCTGTTCTCCCTCTCAGCTTAATCCCCTATCGCAAAGCCCACTGGATTGGGTCAATATTTGGCAACGTGAAGACATCTCATAAATCGAGGCAATCAATGCATAAATTTAGCCACTGGAAAAATGCAGGCGCAGTTCGCATGCAAAGTGAAATATTACGCATACGCAGTGTGGATGGGTTTATCATGGCAGCGCAGGCCATATGAATACATTGTCGCCCCATGCAGATGCCACCCCAAAAATGAAAAAAAATAGGATGTGTGGGCGGGTGTTAAAAAGTAATGAGGCTGGCAATAAGAAGCTGCCGTTGATATCCAAGCACTGCCCAGCTGCTCCACATTTTGTTTGGGAGAAGGGAAACAGGCAAAACGCCATGGGGCTTCGGTTGCAAGTTTATCACACTTAGAAATCGTCGCCAGCTGCTCCACATAAAGCGAAATAATAATGAGAAATCAGAAGCAGCCTGCAAAAAATGCAACATATAGTATATATCACGGGCACACTCACACATCCCTGGTCTCCCCATATATGTATATAGCGACTAAAACCAGGACCCGCAGGTCCAGTGACCGTGTCACACACATTCTGGCGTGCCTGACATCCAGCCAACGTTCCAATTTCGTGTTTAATTAAATCTGATTATAGCTTTTCACTTTGTCCTCTTTTGTGAGCCACTTCTTCTGCTCCTGGCATCTCCAGCTCTCCACGGGTGGCTTTGTGCTCGGCTAGGTCCCTAGATTTTATAAATTCCAATCTACAGGAACGTTTCTTGAACAGAAACGAAGAAAAAGACATTTACTAAAAACCTTTTGATAAATAAATACTAATCTAAAAGCTAAAGAACATTAAAAAATGTAGGAACAAAGTAATATTTAGGTACTCTTCAAAGAGAACCATTTGAAGGACTAATATTAGACAACATATAATGCACCACTGAACCAAACAAAAGTGATTTGGCAGAACTTTTAGTGATTAAAGCCCGATGCTTTGGAACCGAAACTTTCCACTAAACACCAAACAATTAGGGACAAGCAACGAAATGTTGGGCAAGGAAAACGACAATTAATAAAATACCCAACCGAGGAAATCCAGCTACGGCGATTCGCTTTTCAGGAAAATCGCACACACACACATGTATGTGACCTAATATTCACACTTGCACACATAAAAGGAGGTGGTGGTGTGGATTTTGGGAGCACTGGATGTGCCAGGCGAACATGTATTTCCATGGCTGCTACGCTGCTACTCTTTTTTGTTTTGTCCTGGCCTCCATGGCAACCAATTTTCTGGGCAGTTGAGAAAATCGCTATCGAAGGGACATTAGAGGATACATTTTGCCTGTTAGCGACGACCAATTTCGTGTGCGCTTTTCCAGCGAACGAGAAATAAAAGTTTACGCTTTGATTGCCCTCTAATTTACAAAATTCGGAAAATACGAATCGAAGCGAATAATTTTGACCTGGCTAAATGGAATTCGGCTGCCATTCGGCTGGGTTCCATAGTGAAATGGGGAGTGGGTCTGGGAAGCCGCATAAATTACCAGCACTAGCTGTTCGACACAAAGAAGGCTGCAACGCAACAAAAGCCGCTTTGGTCGCTCCCTGGAAACATGGCCAGCAGTCACAGTCGCACAGTCACAGGAACAATAACAGTAACAACAGCTGAAACTATGGCCAAAATGGCAAACACAACGTAACTGTGAAGAGAAATTAGGCGACACACCACAATTAATGGCCCTGTGGGGTTTCCTCGTCAAATCACTTTGGAGCCCACATTCGTTGGGATTTTTTTCCCTATTCCGGCCATATTTTCTTTTGTTTGATTTTGATGCCCTAATGTTTACGATATTCTATGGAGTTTTGCTAGTAGGATGGAAAAACAAAAGGTTATGGATAAAGAGATAATAAGAATGGAACTTTTTGGGGTCCAAATGGCGGTCAAATACGATGTTTTTTAGGGAAAAAACTCTTTAAACTCTCGCCTACCGCCTTTATATTAAATTATGCAATTCGAAAACAGATTAAGATAATTTATGGTATGCTTCAGCACTTTTTAGTCGGACTTTTGCATACGAGTAGGTACATTATAAATATTTATGCACAATGCATGACATAAAATCCTGTTCACTCCACACCTGAACCATTTTGGGCAGCGCGTTAAAAGCACACAAAAAACGCTCACTTTGGCTTTCAGTAAATACGGCGAAAGCGGTAGGGAGGAAAACATTGGCAGTGGGGGCGGTAAAAGCAGTAACAAACAATGGTCGAAATGGGGGAGTTTCGAAGGGATCGGGATAGGGACACCCTTTGTCGGGTTGTTGTTGTTGTTGCTGCTGCTGCTGTTGTCCTGGGGCTGAAATCGTGTGGGAGCATTCACCGACACCTCGGCAGCACACATCGCACACAATGCAAATGTATTAACTGCAGGACGTTATAAACAAAAGAAATTACGTTATGGCGGCGGAGTGTTTTATGTTGGCAACACTTCGCCAACACCAGCCAACGAATGCGAACGGATTTCGAATTTTTTTCACCACCCGCATACACCATGAAAAAAGTAAACAATTTTTGCTTACACCATATTAAATACATTAAAATGAAATATCTGAGAAATTACCAAATTATTATATTTCACTGAATAAGTAGTATTTTTAACAAACCTATTTATAAAACTATTAATCCTAAAATTACTTTATGAGATTTCACAAAATCTGTTTGTATTTTTTTAAGGTTTACATTTTATTTTATTTTAATTTTTTTAATTAAGTAAAATAACTTTATAATTGGAAATTTTTGTCAAATTCCTGAACCCTGATGAATATGATTTTTTTTCTTGGTGCATGCATGTTTGCCAACCGCTTTTCCCTGTCTGTCCGCCCTGTCCGTCCCCGTCCGCCAGTGTCCGTTTATTTCCCTGTCCGTCCGGGTTGGCATTCTCGTCCGTGTCCGCCAGTCTCCGACCGCGTCTGACTCACGTCTGCACGGGGCATGTCTATTTGTCTGCTGGAAACGGAACCGAGCTGCCAACAGCGATTGCAACAACAACGGGGGCAGGAACAGAAGCACGTCACTATGTGTGAGTGCAGTCGTGCTCCACGGCGAATGAGTAATTTCAGACGCAAGAAGGGCTTTTTACTTTCGGAGGGCCAAGGAGAAGGCCGCATTGTTTTGGACGTCGCTTTCGCTTAGCAAGGCAAGTTTGCGTGTATTTTTGAGAGCATTTTCTGCTGCATTTAGTCCTTTTATGGGTTTTCCATGATACGACTAAAATATGGTTCCCCAATTGTTCCGTGCATTTAAATTGAACTTTGTGAAATATGGGATTTTAAATTAAACTATGTATTCTTGTTTTCTTTTTACGATTCCTCCCACTTTTTTCCGTCGAACCTCACAAATGGCTTCAATGGAGTGCTAACAAAACCCTTCGCTCTGCCACTCATGATGCCCATTTCCTTAAGCTCCAAAAGTGCCAAATCATGAGATTGTGCTGCCATGGCGATTGCGATGAAAAACCGTGAAAGTGCCAGACTTCTGGTAAGTTTGGGGCCGAGGACTTGGCTTAGGGGACGGGTGTTGACAAGAAACCCTAACGAGTGACAGCTGAGACAATCCCAAGACGCAAAAAGCGGCCACAATGATGACGAGAGCAATCGGAAGCCGAAGTACGAAAAAATCAAAGCCCTCGATTTGCCTTTCGGGCCAAATCCCACTGACAGATTAATGGCGGGGGCGAGCCCGGGGCGACCACGTTTATGTCCATGGCCATGTCCAAGACCAGACAAGAAACCGCAATCGCAATCAAATTTATTTATTTATTTTTATGTTTAGCCGTTGGCAGTTTTCTCATTTGTGCCCAGCGCAGCACATAAGCTGACAGCCCCATCAACTTGTTTTCTGATTCGGTGGGTAAAAGGGGGGTTGTTCAAGGGTTGGTTCGAAAGGGTCGAGGTCAGGCTAATGATTAATACGCTCGGCTGGTCCAGCGCCTCGGAGTGGCGTGTCCACCGCAACAGCCCAGCAGCATTATCTCGCTTTACGGTGCCAATTAACAAATCTAGAATTTTCTTTAGCTCGAATTTCTGTTATATTGTTAATGAGAAGCTATTAAAAATAAATTGCATTTGTAAAAGTTTCTCTATAAATCTGTTTAACCCTTACAGCTATGTATAACTCAATAGTTTATCTAAAAACGAAATTTAAATCAAGGAAGTTTATGTTAAAAGAGTTCCACTTTCTTGTACAAAATTCATCAGCACTTTGTGGCACAGAAAACTTAATTAGAAATTGGTGAAATCTTCCTTAATTTTGTAGTTTCTCTATCCTTATTTATTCTAGTAATATTTCTTAAGTTAGTACAAACCCTGCTTAGGGGATCTTTAAAGTTTATATATTTGAAATTAAATTTTTTTATGAAATCAGAGTTATTATATTGCACAGGGATTATAGGGAATCCTGACTGTTTTTATATGGGTCCCTCGAGTGGTGGCTGGGATTACAGTTCGAGGCAGCGAGCACTATTGGGCTTTATGGAGTGCGGACACAAATAAATCACCTGTCGGGGAGCCTTGGCTAAGACCTGGTCGAACAAAAAATATAAATTAGAAAATCCAAAACGGTGGGAAAGTGGGGAAAGCAACAGAATAATCCTCCATTACCACACTTCCTGACCTGACCCTGGCATGCGAGAGTGTGTGTGAGTGTTTGTGTGTCCGTTTTCGATGGCACTACTTTCACACATTCGCCTGCTGCTATAGTATGTACTCCTGCACACGCACACCTATGCATTTATGCCAGGGATATGCGTGAAGGACCTTCGCCATCGACCACACCGCACCGCACCACTCCGCCGTGCGAGCGAGCGAGACAACAGCATTAACAGAAGTCCTTGTGCTCTCTCGCCAAAGAGAGCACCAGAATACTACTCGTTCGTAGTACTCGCAATCGGGGGCGTAAAATGTGTAAAACTCAACTTGACGGCTCCGTTTTGCGGCTCTCTGATGAATGAGATTAACCGGCGAGCCAAAATCCACCCCCTTTTCGGGCCTCGCGACAAATGAGTGCAAATGACCTCAACACAGGACAGGGAGTACGGTAGCAGCAACCCCCGATCCTGTTCCTGTGCCTATTCCCGTTGCCGTTACCGTTCCCGCTTTTCTGGTCCTCTGAAAGCGGTGCCCATCCGCAATACTCGTTCTTTTTGGCTTTTTTACGACCTGTAACTCAATTTATTATGCACTTGGCTCGCGTTGTTTATTGATAATTCCATAAAGTTCTTGGCAGCATCCTTTCAATTAATCGCCTGATGTTCTGCAAACTATATTGAACTACTCACACAATAGAAATTGATCACTTAAAATCCACAAATGAACCGTGCACTTGTTATTGTGCAATGATTCAGTGGGTATTTATACAACACACAAGCTGTTCAACATTTGTATATATTGAATATTAAGTTCAATTTTCGATAGTATATTTTATATATATATTTTGCGGGTTGCGCGACGAAAAGCTCCTCACTCAACGTTTCAACTGCGACTGTGACTCGTTCGTTTTCGATTATTTTGGCGTCTCGCCTTAAACTTTTACCTCCAAACACTCGCTGTTGGGAGCTAACGGTTAAGGCTAACAGCGTCCAGCAAGTGGACAGCGCCGCTGTTAAGCTTATCGATTGCCAAGCCGTGTGCGAGCGGGACGGCTAGACAGCTCCACTGAGACTCCAAAAAAGGGTGGACAGCTTGGTTTTTTAATTCAAAGCAGGAAAAAGTTTTTTGCCTGTCTAACAATCACTATGAAATCACTTTATAGCACAAGATATATTCCTTCGGTTGTATTTGTTTATATTTTCAACGCAATGGGGGTGCACATATCTTTCAAGCGAATCATTGTGGCAACCGGAGCGGAGCAAAGTTGAAGGCGAACTGATGCCGGCGCCTTTGGTGGTAGAAAAAAACCTGCCACCCAAAGCCAACCACCCCTGAGGCATGCTCTTTCGCTCTCTCAGCACACATTGCGAAACTCCCCCTACTTTGCTCTCTTTGACTTTCTCCCTTACCTTGGGGCTCTTGTTTTAGTTTAGCCACAGTTCACTGTACTTAAATTTGGCGCCCTATTAGGGACCAACTTTTATTCAGAATGGAATTGGGGATTCTTCACTAAAAGTCTCTTATTTATTATATATATTCAATATATGTAAAATATAAATAGCTTATGTGTTAAAATAAATGCTGGATCTTTTTCACAATTACAAGTAAAAAGTGCATTTGTGTAATCAATCTTAATTGTGTCGCTAGTTCTATATCGCATTCAAAACATAAAAAAAAAAACAAAACAATTTCTAGTTGCATAACAAATTCAGTAACAGTGTCGTATAAAAGCAGTTATCAAACTGATGAAGTTTATTTAAAGGTACATTATTGTAGCCCGTAGTAGAAACAATTTTTATTATCTTATGGCTTCGAATTATTTACATAGTTAAAAAAAGTAACCAATCTATTTTAAAAGTAACACAGTTGGAACTCTAGTAACTTATAATTTTTAGAGCCTAACCAACTGTACTCAAATTTAAAACAGGAACATCTTACTGCAATACTCCTTGTCTCTGTTTTATCAGACACACCGATTTTCTTTACCATGTCTGCATTTCCCCTGTTCAAACGCTCGCTAAAATGCCGCTGAAAAATGGGTGGGTGGTGTCGTGAGCTCTTATCAGATGGCAAGTGTAACATGAGACTTGTGCGTCTGCTGTCTGGACTTGCCTCGGAATCAAATCGATTTCGAGGCAGCACCACCCCACAATTCAACTATCGATGAGTTGGCGCGCAAAAGGAGCCGTGTCCTGTAATTTGTCGCCGCACGACAGTGACGCAAAGTGCCTGTCAGTCTGCCAGGGCCACCCATAGAAACTCCTCCCCTCCCACTCCACCCCCTGATTCTTGGACAATTTAATTATAGCCGGAGACGAAGTGTAGACGGAGTCGGGGCTTTAAGGTAACTGGAGCTAGCACGCTCCCTAAGAGCCTACGTCAGAAACACCAGGAACATGCGTTTATCTCGTAATTAAATTTAAATGGGATAACTTTGTGGCCGGCGTCACTTCCGCCGCACAAAGAAATTAGCGGCTGTCTAGCCTTTGCCATAAGAAAATGCACCAAGATAGCTGGCTAGAATTATAATGGACAGTCGGCTTGGCTTTTAATCTCTTTTCGGACTTCTTCTTTGCTTTTTAGCCAACAGAGCAGCTCAGAGAAAAACTTATAGATTTTCTTTAGACTAAAAACACTCTCGACTCATTTGGATTGCAATTTAAGGGATTTAAGGGAGTGTGAATGCAATCTTTAGATAGTTAGTAAGTACTTTATTCGTTTAATAAATCCTAAGCAGATTGAGTAATTCAACTGGCTTGAGGTACTAGAGTCTGCTTGTAACTTTTAAGTCAGTAACCACTCTAGAATAATGTGTACCTATACAAGTAATGTTTCCCATTCACCTATTATATATATATAAGAAAATAAACCCTATCACCAAATTCCTATAATTAGATTAAAGATCATGTCACTAAGACTAAAAGCTCAATTGGTTATTTCACCTTAGCCAGTCGCTGATCGACGCATTTCTGACTTCGGAGGTCGAACCAATTTCCTGGACTGCAGTAATGCAAGACAGCCTTGCCCTTTAGGCAAACATAGAACTTATTATGCTGCTTGACGTCGCCGAATCTTGTATCCTCTTCCACTTTGCTGCAATCCGGTAATCCTTCGGCAACTAATGCTGGATGACTGTCTTCCTGGACCTCGTCTATTGAGCACTGAACGAGGCTTGGGTAATTGCAAAAGTTTGACTTCAAGTCAAAGTGTAGACCCCTCGGACACTGTCGAGAAATAGCCCGTCCATTGGCGCAAATATAGAATTTACTGCATGACTTTGGATCCCTAAAGTATGCGCCATTTCTTGACAATGTGCAGTCAGGAGTCGATATGTTCGAGGGTTTCTTCGTCACAGCTTCCAGATTCTCTTCGTATGCGCAGTCTACTAGACTAGGGAAATTGCAGACCTTCCTCTTGATGTCGAAATTCAGATTTCTGGGACAATGGCCGGGAATCGGTTTGCCATTCAGACATACATAGTATTTATTGCACGACTGGGCGTCCCTTAGAAAGACTCCATTGGGCAAGTTGCTGCAATCAGTTTTTTCGGGTTCCAGAGTTGAAGTGCTAGCGATATTACCCTGTGTCGAACTTTCTGCCCTCGGAACGGTGGTGCACGGTGTTGTACTAATGGTGGAAGTACTGAGGGGAAGTTCTGTTGAACTCTGTGGAGTTGAAACCGTCGTGCATGGAGTCGTACTGGACGTTGGTTCAGATGGTTCAGTTGGTTCCGTAGACAACGGATTTTCAGAGCTGGAAATATTTCCCTCCGTCGAGCTTTGTGGTGATGGCTCTGTTGAGGTACCGCTTTCGGATCCATTGTTTCCTGAGTCTCCGTCTTTATCTGTGGTATCTGGCGATGGAACTAACGTCGATGTAATCTCTGGAATCTTTGTAGAACTTTTTGTAGATGGAACCGTGGTGCATGGAGTCGTCGAGCTTTTTGGAGACGGCTCTGTTGAGATACCACTTTCCGATCCACTGTTTCCGGAGTCACCGTCTTTCTCTGTGGTATCTGGCGAGGGATCCAAGGTCGTTGAAGTCTGCGTAGAACTTTGTGTGGAAGGCTCTTCAGAACTATCATTGTTTTCCTCAGTTGTAGATTTTGAGGAAGGTTCGGTGGTTAAGGGACTTTCGGAACTGGAAATATTTTCCTCAGTAGAGCTTTTTGGAGATGGCTCTGTAGACCCACTGTTTCCGGAGTCACCGTCTTTCTCTGTAGTGCCTGGTGAGGGATCTGAGGTTGATGAAATCTTGGTAGAACTTCGTGTAGTTGGAACCGTAGTACAGGGAGTCGAACTTGTGGATGGCTCTTCAGAACTATCATTATTTTTCTCAGTTGTAGTTTCTGATGTGAGTTCCGTCGTTAAGGGACTTTCGGAACTGGAAATATTTCCCTCCGTCGAGCTTTGTGGAGGTGGCTCTGTTGAGATACCGCTTTCGGATCCACTGTTTCCGGAGTCACCATCTTTTTCTGTTGTGCCTGGTGAGGGATCTGAGGTTGATGGAATCTTTGTAGAACTTTGTGTAGTTGGAACCGTGATACATGGAGTCGAACTTGTGGATGACTTTTCAGAACTATCAATATTTTCTTTAGTTGTAGTTTGTAATGTGGGTTCTGTGGTCAAGGGATTTTCTGAGCTGAAAATATCTCCCTCCGTCGAGCTTTTTGGAGAAGGTTCTGTTGAGATACCGCTTTCGGATCCACTGTTTCCGGAATCACCGTCTTTCTCTGTGGTGCCAGGTGGAGGTTCTGATGTTGATAAAATCCCTTGATCCGTGGTAGTTTCTGATGTTGATAAAATCCCTTGATCCGTGGTAGTTTCTGATGTTGATGAAATCCCTTGATCCGTGGTAGTTTCTGATGTAGCTTCAGTGGTCAAGAGACTCTGAGTACTACTTACATCTTCCTCTGTCGAGCTTTGTGGAGATGACTCTGTCGATGAGGTGCTTTCCACTTTTACAAAGTCATTATCTTCAGATCCCCTATCCTGCGCAGTTGTGCTTATAACAGGACCTGCGGTCGTTGAACTCTCCTCAGTGGAGCTTTCAGGAGAAGACGTTGGACTATCTGGGGAAGAACTTTCAGTGCTGGAAATATTCTCTTCCGTCGAACTTTCCAGTGATGGAGCTGTTGAAGGTGGCGTTTCTATATCAGTAGTACCTGTTGAGCTTAAAAGACTCTCTGCAGTAGAGCTTTCCGCTCCGAGTTCTGTGGACGTCGGGATATCAGAGCTTGAATCACCTTCTCCTGTCGCACCTGTTGATGATTCTGTGGACTGAGGACTTGGGGAACTCAAAACTATATCTTCCAGAGAATTCTCTGTAGATAAAGGACCTTCCGAACTTGAACTATTTTCTTCGGTGGAACTCTCCGAAGCTGATTCTGTTGAGGAGCTTTCTGAGCTTGAATCGATCTCAGTTGATGACTCTGTAGACAAAGGACTTCCTGAGCTTACGATTATATCTTCTAAGGAAGCTTCTGTGGACGAGCTGCTTTCTTGCGTGGAACTTTCTGATGAAGATTCAGTTGATGATTCCGGATTCTCTGAGCTTGAGGAAACGTCCGAGCTGGAAATATTCTCTGTTGATGATTCTGTAGACAAAGGACTTTCCGAACTTAGGATAATATCTTCTAAGGAAGCTTCTGTAGACAAAGGACTTTCAGTGTTTGGGCTACTATCTTGCGATGAACTTTCTGGTAAGGATTCAGTTGAGGATGAACCGTCCGTCGCTTCTGTCGATGATTCCGGATTGTCTGAGCTAGAGGAAATCTCTATTGATGATTCTGTAGACAAAGGACTTTCCGAATTTAGGATAATATCTTCTAAGGAAGCTTCTGTGGACAAAGGACTTTCAGTGCTTGGGCTACTATCTTGTGAGGAACTTTCTGTTAAGGATTCAGTTGAGGATGAACCGTCCGTTGCTTCTGTCGATGTTTCCGGATTGTCTGAGCTTGACGAAATTTCCGTCGAAGGACTTTCCGAATTCAAGATTAAATCTTCTAAGGAAGCTTCTGTGGATGATATAATTTCAGAGCTTGAACTTTCCGACTCAGATTCAGCTGGGGTTGATTCCGTGGAGAACGAATTTTCTGAGCTTGAGATAATTTCCTGGGTCGAACTTTCCGGTTCAGATTCTGTTGACGGATTTTCCGAACTTGAAATGATCGCTTCTTGATAAATTTCCGTCGTTACTGAACCTTCGGAGCTACTTTCTTCTGACGGACTTATTGATGGTTCAGTGGACAAGGGACTATCGAAACCAGAAATACTTTCCTCAGTGGATGAACTCGAAATATCAGCATCCGTAGAACTATCAGGTGAAGATTCGGTTGAGGATGTGGACTCAGAATTATCAGTAAAACTGATTAGAGAATCATCAGAGGGGCTTGGGGCAGACAAAAGTTGAGCTTCCCCAGCGTCCTCCAATAATTGCAGATGAGCAATTGGTCTGGTTTTCGGGGGAGACGGAGTCGTATCTTGGGATCCGCCCCATAGACTTGCAAAAAAATTAAAGTTTCCGAAGATGTTGAATATAACTGGTCTATCCACGTTCACAGTTTGTTTGATGTTAACTTCGGATTTATCCTTTTTTTCCCTTTGGTCATTAGGAGATGTTACGCTTGTCTGGTTAGTAATTACACATCCCTGCGTTTGACCATTAAACAAATATCCAGTACTGCATGTATTCTTTATCTGACCAAGGAAACCCAGGCAGAGATAATAGGAACGGGGATCTTCGGGGTCGACTGCTCTGGATCCAAACGATTGCCCTGCGCACGGATCCTTTGCCAGGGCCTGAGGAATGATCCACAGAAAAGCCCAAAGGACTTTTACTGAAAAATAAAGCAGGGATGAAATATTCGTTTAATTAATTAATTTATATCTCACTTACCAACTTGCATTTTAAAAGCACATTGAAGAAAATGCAACGGGCCTGGCCCAATTTCTCGCCTTTTATACTTTACAGTTTGGTTGAAAAACAAGTAAGTAATCTCAAGTGGAATGTGTAAAGAAAATTGTAAAGTACAAGTATTTTAAATAAATTAAACACTAACCAAAACAGAACGGTTCTTGGGTCTTACATATGTCCGATAATGGAATCGGAAATACTTTGCTGGTGTAGACGAACAAAACAAGTGACGATCTAAGAAGTTTAAAATAACAAAAGTTACTTCTATTCTATTTTTATTGAAAATTATATAGCTATAGATATAATTATAAATAACTGATATGCGAAATACTTAGACGTTAGCATCCTATTTCTAGAATATAGGATTATAAGTTATAATTATAATTTATAATTAACTTGTAATATATAAACTTATACACTTTACAATATGATAATAAACATAAGGAAAACTACGTTTTTACCATATATTTTCTTAAGAGTCACATCCTGTAAAATATAAACCATCAGAACATGAAATTACAATGATTAACAACTCATTGCAAATAACAATAACTTCTAGGATCTTGATAAGCGATTTCATTGTCTTTAGAAAGCTCTTCGGACCGCATTTATAATCTCTCTAATCTTTCCAATCCGGACGCATAATGGCGCTGTCAGCAGGCCTTTATCTCGGCTCACCTTGCGCGGTCGGCAATGTCGAGCGTTGTAGACCTGCGGGCGATAGTGTAACGGCTGCCATAACCCACCCCCTTTTCTCCCTCGGGGGTGAAGCCACCTACCAACCCATGTGAAACCCCCACCACCACCCAACGTCCCTCGGCGGCCCAACATTTCCGATTAGTTGTTCAGATAACGGGCCGTCTCAGCACTTATCGTACCCGTATTCTTGCAATGATTACTCAAAACCCCGGGGCACTTGCTGTTGTTGTTGTTGTTGATTTCGGGAGGGGCGGGACAGGTGGGCGTTATTACTATTTTTAGAATGATAGAAAGCTTTGGGCGGCAAGCTCCGGACTCCACCATTTAGCAGTGTTTTGGCCCGCACTCTTATCGTAACTTGTGTGGCTTCGAATGTACCTAGTTGAGGAAAAATCCCATGTTGGATTTTGTTACCTCTGGTATTCGAGCCAATAAGTTCGGCCACGAATTCGCATTTTATCTTTTGCATTTTTATTATTTTTGATTTTTTGTTTTTTTTTTTATAAATTTTGAATTACTTGCAGCATTTTTTCGACCAGTGCACGGGGTCACCTGCACCCACTAAAATTGCCGAAAATTGCCATGTCCGTACGTTCGCCAGCACTGATATCATCGAATTTTAATAGCTCCTCTACGAGGTCTAGTTGTTTAACTTGGGCCACCAACAAAAATGCATACAGTCATGTTAATTTTGATTTAAGTGGCCTTAAAACGGTTTACCTATCAGGGGGTCTTAGATTTTGCTCAAGACCTTAGGCCTGTTTCGCAAGGTTATTAGATCTGAGTTCCGAATAAGATTATTAGCTATGATAATGTGGCGAATATTCCAAATTTTTTTTATTTCTAAGGCCTAGTACTCACTTCAATCGAAAAGCCTACGAAATGAAAATCTCCACAAAAATATTATTATCAAAATAAAATATAGAACAAATTCAATTTCAATTCAATAAAGAGATTTTTCAGTTAAAAGCCCATCCAAATAAAATATATCGTATTAATATTTAATAATAAAATTAGTAATTTAAAATATTTAAAAACTATTAATCTTTTTGTAACCATATAATCGCTCTATAAAATTTCAAAATGCATTTGCGAATATACCCATCCCTTTATCAATATCATTTTCTTACATTGTTAGCAATAGCTAATAAAAACTAAATAATTGGCAAGAAAATTGAGATGAATTTGCATATTGCAGAAAATGCTGCAATGGATTAGAGTGGTCTCGAAACTACACTTTTCAGTGCTTGGGAAACCAGCGTCTCCGTGCAAATTGCATTTGGGCCAGTGAGCCGAGCACTTGCTCATCCGTTAGCTAACGAGACCATTCCAAACACGATAACGATCAGGAAAAGTGCACATATCAAGCTGACGGCTATGGGGTTATACCCAAAGACAACCCCCAACCCTCAGGAGGGTCTTCACTTGCAGTTGCATTCTATATAATCAGCTGGCTATCGCCGATCGCAGCGAAAAGCTTCCAGAAAAGGGTTGACTTTCAACCGATTAAAAACGACTCAAAATTGAGTTGAGACTGGATCAAGAACAAAATAAATTCGGTTTTAATTACAGGGTGACCGGAACTCGGCTTCTAGTTGCTCATCTCCACAGTGTCCATGGTCCTGTACTGCTCCCTTTGCAGGCGATTGCCATAGGTGCGGGACACCAGATTCCAGGCGTCCATGAAGCGATCCATGCACTGCGAAATGCACCTCTGCTCGTTGGTGTCCAGTGTTTTTCCCGGCTTCTGGATGCACTTCTTGAAGCACTTCTCCGTCATCTTCGAGAGCATCTCCTGGGCGTTGGCCAGGGCGATCTGCTGCTTCACCTGGCTCATCAGCTCCCCCTTCTCCATGTTGGCAGCCGCCATTTCGGATAAACAATTTTAATTTATAATTTCTTTAAGTCTGAACACTATGTTTAAGCATTTGCTTAAGTCCGAACTCGGGACTCGGACTGAAAGAGCACAGCTTACTGTTTAGATTCCAGATTATATTGGTTAGCATTAATAGCTAAATAAAACCATGTATGTAGGATAAACTGTCTGCAATTACATAGAAAAGTATCTTACCGTCGATATACTTTTTGGGTTGTCAGATCTGAGTGCCAATTTGGCTTTACCTACCACTAAAAGCATATTTTTAATTTCCTTAAATAAACCTGATAATAAACCACCTTTATAATCAAACAGCATTTGTTTTATTAATTTGTTATGCTTATATATTTGTGCCAAAAATTATTATTATTATAACACCAATTTAAATATTTTAGAGTCCTTAGCACTTACAGAAAAATTTGAATTTGATCTTAAATTTGCTTTATTTTTATAAAAACATTTGATACATTTGTTTTCAATCAGTATCGAAGTACTATTTAAAATACTCAGGCAGATGTAGCTCTAAAATGTTGTTTTATAAAAATATAATCTTTAGATTGCGGTGTATGCTCTTATACATATTTTACAATATTCGTTTAATTTGTTAAGACACTTTTAGTTCTTGTTCTCTCTGATAGTTATTTACTATTTCCTTGTAAATTTGTTGTAAGTAGTTAAGAGTTGAGTTTAGACCCAAACACAGACGCTTGCCAAAGGCGAAATCTCATTGAGATACTGAAAGCAGGTTAGTGAAGAGTAAAAATGGTATTTTTATATACCGTTCAAAATTTAAGCATTTTAATTTGTGTGCGTTTTTATTTTTGATCAAAATTGTTAAAGCCAAAATATATATTTGGATTTTAAATTTTGTAATAATTTAAAAGGGATAAAGATTTAATTGGGATAATTTCACCGATTAGTGCTATAGTGCACCAATACATCGTCATCTACAAACCGAATTTAAATATTTTAAGTATAGGATTTTTTAAATCTTTGATAGATATATTGCGAAAAAGGATTCTAGGCATAATACTGAACTTTTATTTAACTACTTCAAAAGATCATTTACCGGTTACCTACAACAGAATGTTCTCAACTAGCAACTACCAATATATTCCATTTTCTGAATTCCCAAGGTGCACAATAAAATTGATTGATTTTACATCTTATCTAAATTGAAGTTAAAGTAAAAGTCGTAAACACGTGCAAAGTTAAACTTTAGAGTTATAATTACATTTAAATGTTCAAAGAATGTTTTGTGTGGTCGGTATAAAATATTTACATCTGAGGCACAAATTGAAAGAAATAACACTACTACTGTCAGTTAAGTTATATATAATATTTGTATATGGAATGTACAATCACTTCGAGTAAGTAAGTATTATTGCGATCAAGAGAAGACAGGCACAAACATATATTAGTATTGCATAATCCTAGGCCTGATTGTCGGTAGGCAGGGTGTCCCTAGTGGTTCAGATCTCGTCTCTCGGATCTGGTCAGTTTCTGGGCACCGCACCCAGGCGATGCCAATCGCAGAGCTCCTGGCGCAGGTCGTGCTTCGATAGATCCAATTCGAAGCCCCCAAGCAGCTCGTTTTCTTGCAGCGTGTCGTGCGACCAGACGGTTACCTGCAGACGTCGTTCTTGTATAATATTCAGGGGCATTCGGTACTCCAACTATAAAGAAATATATATTATTTATTGAAACGTTTTTATATTTAATGAACTACATACAGTTTCCATGAAACTGGGAACACAGGTCTTGCGCACCACTTTGGTCTTGCGTTTGGTCTCCTTTTTGGGATCCGGTTTTAGGTAGCACTTCACATAGGTGTTGGGCTCCTGGCCGCCCTGCAACATGGGCAGCCCTTTGGCGTGGTGTATCTGGAATACATATATCCTCCATTAGGTCAATTATCAATAATATATTATCTAGCACCACCCACCATCACAGTAAGTACGCCGCGTTGATATTGCAGCGAGAGACGAATTTGGCCAATCTCGTTGGGATTATCCCTCGACGGTTGTCTCTTCACCTCTGCAATAAAAAGGTATATAAATATTTCAATCCAATTTATAACTTTTTAGATCTAACCTTTTATCTTCGGCATTCCTAGCTTGGCCTCCTGCTGATCGCGCAGCAGCGGATGGAAGAATGTGTACACGAGCTCGGAATGCGCAATTTCCTCGGACGCGTCGAACAACGATTTCAGAAATCGCTGAATGAGAGGTAGTCGTTTTTCTGCCACAGATTTGATATTTGAACGCCCCACATGCACGCCGGCCGGAAGACTAAAATCATTTAAGAAGATTGAAAACCATAAGTAAGAAAATTAATAAATAAAATATATTGCTGTAATTTACAGATGTATGTATGTACAATATGCCAAAAAAAATGGTAAATTGCAACAATCACCATAAAATGTAGGTTACTCTTTACCAATATTTTCTTCATAAAGTAAAAAAAATTCAATTAATCACCTTCTTCAAATTTAAAGATATGATTAATTAAATTCATTAAAAGTTGTACATCAATCGTCAGGTTGTCCAAAATTATATAAATTTATTTTAAATTGATCTATTTCATATTTCTAATCATTTAAGATAACATGATGCGATGATACGGTTCATTAACAAAGCATGATATTCGCAATTTATCGCAAATCTATTTATAAGTAGGTATATTGGTTACAATACATGAGATAGCATACAAGTTGGTATCAATTCAAAATACTTCGATCGATAAAATGACTTATAATTGAGTGTAAACAATATCAGATTATCCACAATGGAGGAGGAGGAGGCTTTTATCGCCCAAGATACGGTTCGGCAGCTTTATTATTATTTTTCATGGTGTTTATATAGCCGCTGGTTTGTCAAGGTGCGCTAACAAATCATGGTACAAATTCGCGATTACTTATCAGTGCTGGCAAAGCGTCTGTCCCGAAGTCCATGGCTCTGAGGTAACACCGCTAATAGCTGATAAATCGACGAATGGGGCAGACTGATTTCACCAAATCGGAGAGCCGGAGAACCGGAGAATCGGAGAGCCCGAGTAGTGGGTGAAAGAAGAGCGGCGGACCCGAGTAAACGATATCGGGCCGAATCGCTCCGATAAGCGGTAGCGCCAACGTCAGCGCTCAATCAGTCGACGAGCGAGCTGGGGAGCGGAGCCGAGAGCGGTTCGATTAGCGACGTGGTGAAGTTTTATTATACTTTTGGCCAAAACAAAGGGGGACTGCGAAAACCAACGACTTAAGCCAGAATGCCGAGCCAACAGATTTGCTGGTGAGACACGGAAGACATGGCCCAGCTAAAGAATGTGGGCCAAGGTAGGTGATGAATGCGTTAAAGAACTCTGGATATTTTATCACCCACATTTATCCTCTTCAGGTCAGCAGCAGGCCCTCCTCGTTGGCCCAATGCTCGCCTCGGCCATGCTGCTCATGGGTCTGGTTTTCGCCCTGCTGGGGATCAAGCTTTTCGGCTTCCGGCGGCGGCTGACTTTCGATCGATCGCAGGTGCAACAGCCACAGGCAAGCCAACAGCAACGACCGCCGCCACGTTACGCAGCTTTTGAATCACAGGTGCGTATGCGTATGCAAATCAAAAGAACTTAACAGCCGATGCACGCAGTTAATAAAGGTTAATGCGATACCGATACCACCACTGGCTATACCCATACCAATATTCATATATATATACGACAAGTGGCTCTGATAAGGCAGGGCAAATACGAATACAAACATTCGCAGGTGTTGAGAGGCTATATCATTTCGGAGAGTGTGTAAGTTGTGGATGGATGATAGCGATGGGGGCGTGAGGAATGCAAATCGGCTTTCACTTATTTGAATCTTGGGTAGAATGAGGTCTCCTAAATTATTCGGTTTGTATATTAGGGAATTCATAAAAGAAGTTAAATAAAACCATAAAAATCTGTGCAATGAGCAGAATGTTAAGTATAATCTACAGTAAGACTGACTTGTTGGTCGAAACTCTTATTAAAATACTTAAATATTAAATCTTTTGAAAGCCTAACTTTCTGACAAAGAATAAAAAAACCTTGTTTTTATTAAAAATAAAACCAATTAGTTAATTAGTTTAAATAAAACAGGTTAATTAAGCCAAGAAGGCTAAATCGCTTATCGAAATCACAATAACACAGAGAGCTCAAAACGAAAGGTAAGTCACACCTTATCGCATGGACGTGTTTTCGTATTCGTCTGAGTTCGCGTGTCTGTGGTCATGTGTAATACCTTTGCATTCGAACTAGTGACGCATTCTAGTGATCAGTCCAAACAGCTGAATCCACAGCTGATGGGCAGCAAGTTAATTTAATTCAGCATATCGCAATACCCTAAAAAGCAATTTCTGTAATTCTCCAGGTTAATGGTACCGATACCGCCGTCCATGGAGTCTTCCGACGTCGCAATCTCGAGGAATTCGAAAGCCGATGGCCTTCGGCATCAACAGCGACAGGTGAAGATAGCAAACCGAAATCATTCAATCGAAACTATTTTGCTACAGTCGAAATTCTATAACTTGAACTTTACCAAGTGAATTTTTAATAGCTAAAAATATTTTTTAAAAATTCTTAAACAGTTTCAAATTGATTTAAAGAACTGATTTTCCTTTTAAGAACAATTTTCTAACCTATATATATTTTTTAAACAGGAAACAGCTACATTACTGGCAGTGTTCCGAATCTGCAATTATATGGGGCCAGTCCCAGGGACACAAGAGCCACGGAGGAATCCCAAGTGACCTATCGAGAAAAGTCACAGGCACAACGCCAACACCGGCTGGAGGTGCACAGTGAGCACTATGAATACTACACCGCTCCACCTACCCGACAGCCTCCTGCTCCTCCTGTAGATTCGGCTATACTAGCTGAAACTCCTTCGGAGGTTTCTTCATCTAAAATACCAAAATCCTTGCCTGCTTTATCTCCTTTGATCACAAGAGAAGCTATACCTGCAACTGCTCCTGTCGTTCCCGTTCCCGAGCCTCCCAGCGAACTTGGAATGCCCAATTTCGATCACTTTGCTGAGAAATACGAGCTGTTCAGTGTGAAACCAACGACGGAGGTCACGACGAGACCAACACAGCTGAGGAGCAAGAACAGTGGACGTTATGTCAAGTTCGAGAGAGTGGATGATGTACCGGAAATTCTCACTCCCGAGGATCCGGTTTCGGAGCTACTCACTCCGGATGATGGCTTGGGAGGTGCCATGTCAGTCACAGCTGTGGTGCACAGGGGAGCAATACCCAAGGAAGAGCAGGAAGCGAAAGTGGAACCTCAAAGTCCAAGTGACCCCTTCGAGGAACCAATCAATGCAGACTCCGCTTTTGTGGTGGAAATCATAGCAGGAAGTCCTGAAGCTGAAGCTGCTCCTACTACAAAGCCCACCTCCCAAGGTGGCCTCTTTGATGACTTAGAATTACCGCAAGGTGAACACGACAGTGATTTTGTGCGGATTCGTTCGTCCTTCGTGATGAACGAGGCGGATATCCTAGATTTGGATCCACTGCAGCTGCCGGCGGCCAGCAGTCCACCAGGATTCGGAAAGAGCATCGACGAGGACTGGGAGAACTTTGCTAACCTGGACGCCGTGTTGGCCGTACCAGAACCCAACTGGGCCCTGCATCCAAATAGCGTAGAGCAACTGCCCACGGTGGAGACGACGCTGAGTGAGGCTACCCTCGGACTGGACAATGTGGAACAGGTGGAGGGTTTGTTCCATCAAATAGAGCTAATAGAAGACAGCTTGGACATCTTTGAACCGGAACCTCCAGTGCCCGTTGTGGAACCACCGCCCTACGATCCCGGTCTGCCCTATCTACCCGATTACGAATCCCTGATGCAGCTGGAGAACGCGAAGGGCGGTCAGAACTTGCCCAAATACACAGAGGTAATGGAACAAAGATCCAAGAAAGCCAATTATGTGAGTAGCATAGAGGATCTGTATGCGGAACTGGAGAGAAATGAAATGAACCAGACCAATGACATCCATAATTTTGAGGACTTGTGCCAAGAAATGGCCGTGGTGGTGCCATCCGAGCGTCAAGCTCCTCAGCCCGCGCCAAGATCCACAAAGTTAGCCACCCTAAATGTTCGAGGTGATGCCCCTCCCCTGGCGTGCTATCAACCTGAAGAGCTGCCCAGCTCCAGTTCCAGTGATACCGAGGGGGAGGATGGAGCCCGGTCCGGGCCACCACAGCCTGCCAAACGCGATCCAAAATCGCTGAAAGTCCGCTTCGATGTGGAGAACCTGCAGTACTACCAGTCCGCCGAGGTGGTAACCTCAAGTGAGGAGTCCGACGAGGACGATGAGCCGATGCCTCAGCCGACTCCCATGCAGCGATCCGTCATTTTCGAGCCGAGAGACAATGGAGTGCCCAGCCTTTTCGGATCCCAGGTCTCCCAGGAAGACAGTGATGACGATGATGGCTTTGGACGCGCCATCAGCCAGCATCGCTCCATGACTGCGGCTCTAAGGACAAACGCTGTTAGGAGTGATAGCGACGCCTAATCTGGAGACCGCCAACTGCCGCCAACTTCCTGACTTCCTTAGCAAATACAGTATTCTATGTGTTAATTTCGGCCCGAATGGCTATGACCTATTTATGTACATACAATTCGCTGATAAGTTGCCATATAATGTTGACTATATATAATAATAAAAGTATAGCATGAAAGCCATTGGATTTAAAAGAAAAGAATTTTTAAAAACTCTGTAAGGGGAAGTGAATCACACGAAAGTCAAAGAATTCTAAAGTACATTTTTGCAATTAATGCGTTTTCCATTCTTCAATGTCTAGATAAAGTGTCTGATAGACACAAGTCAGTAAGTGGAAGAGGTAAACATAAAGCCCCTTGGGTTTAATTAAACTTAAAAATGTTATCGTAAACTCACCTGTGCAATTTGACCAGAGGGAAGTGCATGCATAGCTTCTGATGGAACTCGGTAAACTCGCGATATGAGCGGAACAAATGCGTCGGATCCGGCTGACCATGTCGCGTCACTTCCAGAATATACATATAGAACTTTTCCATGCTGTAGTGCTTTTGGAAGCACACCACCTTCACAATTTTCAATCGGCCATCCTGTTGCATACTGAGATTAAAAACGATTAATTAGATAAAATATGATAAATTCAAAGGTACAACGAACTAACGTGTATTTTCGTGGCACGAACGACAGCAGCTCGCCGGTTCCCTCATCGGGGGTAAATCGCATCTGAGCCAGATTGTGCAGGAAGAAATTGAACTGAGTGAACCAGCTCTTCAGCGAGGATTGGATCATCTTGGCAAAGGTGGCAGCCGCTTCGGGATTCGATTGTGATGGCAGCAGGGCACGTCGCACATATTGCACAGCGTTTGAATTAACTCCCGGCATTCCGGCGGTGGCCATGTGGGCTAAAGTGTGCAGGAGCAGATCCGCATTTTTCCGCACAATATTGAAGGCCCGACAACACAGGTCCACAAAGTAGTGGAAGTCGGTGGAGGGCTTGTCTCCGCCATTTATAACATAGGCCATGTCAGAGGTTAGCACAAATGGTGTGCGATCTCTGTGAAAAAAGAAGATTTGTTAATTAATATAAATTATTTTGTGGCTTAAAATATATTATGATTAATTCCCTTACCTCTTGAAGTTTCCAAACATCTGGGCATCGCCAAGGAACTTGCCAAAGTCAATGTGAAACAAATGCCCCGAAGTCTTCAGCATGATGTTGTCATTGTGCCGATCACAGATGCCCAGCACATAGGTGGCCACACTATAGCCAGCACAGGATAGCGTAAAGTTTCGCACCGCACTCTGGTACTCCAGCGGACTGGGATTCTGCTTGCCCAACCACTCGGCAATCGGGCGATCCTTGAAGGAACCCGTCAGACCGCACTCAACTTGGATTTTTCGCAACGTTTCCGCCTCGTTGACCAGCTCAATCATCCCGCTTTTATATCCCGTGGGCACACAGTTGAAGGTGACGATTTTCAGGTCCAACCTTTCGGCCAACCACATTTTGTTCATAATCCGAATCAGCTGAATGGTCAACTGATCCTGTTGTAAGTCATCTCCGCACTGAGAAGGATTTTAATCTTTAGATTATTTTGCACTTTATGGTAACCATAGATATTTACCTTAAAGATTGCTGGTAGTGATTCGGCATCGGGTCCCACGAAGTTGATTTTCAACGGCAGCGTGTTGGAGTTAAAGTAGCTGCAATTGCGCACACTTACTCCAGTTACTTCCAATTCAGGTCCCAATGGCAAACACGTAGGCTTCTCCAGCAGATCCTGATGCACCTCGTCCATGCCTGCGGCCAAACTCTTTTGCCGCATCGACTCCTTAGCCTCTTTGACAGACTCTGCTATAGTTGTGAGTTTCTATAACAAGATATACATATTATTTAATGATTTAATAAAGAGTTTAAGAGCTACATCTGCTTACCTGACACATTCGATGCTGGTACATAAAGCGCTGAAGCATCTTCTCACCGCAGATGGCCATTAAAGCTCGCAGCATCATTTTGTTACGGCGATAGTAGCGCGCCTGGGTAACCTGCGACTCGTCGTACTCCTGGTCCACCATGGCGGCCCCGATGGAGTTGTGCGGATCATCCGGCAGACTGTGCACCAGGAGCCAGTACATGTGGTGGGCAAAGCGCGGCGATTCCAGGCACTTGGACAGCAGGAAACGAGCCATTGCCGATCCTTCATAGGTGTCATGTTTCAAACTTTGCACTAATTGGGGCAGGAAGTCCACAAGCTGGTCATTGGGCATCTTGGAGATCCACTCCACGGCCTTCTCGCGAACCTTGGCATCCGGATAGCGGGGCAGCAGCAGCTCCAGCGACTGCAAAGGCGAAAGCGGTGCCCAGGAGTGGAGCAGGGCATGCAAATCGATCAGATTGGCGTAGTCCCAACTGTGGGCGGCATGCAGGACTTTTGGCAGGGCATTGGGATAGTTCTGCAGGTAGAGTCGTTTCTCCCAAAACACTTCACGTCGCTCAGTGGCTCCAGTGTAGCCCAGCTCAGCGGTGTCCAGCAGCTCCTCTTGCAGATTAGCATCCAGTGAGGCAAAGTCATAGCTGGCAGGGATTAAACCATTGAATAAATATCTAATAAATTTCTTTTAAATGCAACACTTACTGTGGTGCTGGTTTTGGCACCTCCTGGTGCTCGGGAAACTCTATGCGGCCTCCATACGGAGGCACCTCAATGCTTAGAACGGGGCAAAAGTCAGGAGTCGGATGACAGCCTCGCGCCGGAGCTGGTCCCAGCATCTTATCCGTGGTTGGTGGCCACAGGGACAGGAGGTACGGGCCGCAGATCATCACTCGCTTGAAGTCAAACAGCTGGATGGAACACCAACCCAACTCGGTGGTCACTTGACGCCTCTCTCCATTCTGCTCCGCATTCGGTTCGCCTTCGCTGGCCGCCTGCTTGCCATACAAGACAAACGTGAGCCTGGCCTCCCGAGGCAGAGTGCAAATGGGATGCTGATCAAAGGTCAGCCAGGCGCTAAAGTTAAGGCGAGGAAACAGACCTCCACTCGTGTCGTTGGAGCAGGTCAGCACATTTGGCTTGGACAGTAGGCGCGTTCCATAAACGATTTGAACGCACAGAGAGTAATCGTCGAACTTCCAATTCGGCGGTGGCCTGTGCAGGCAGTTGATGCTGACCACAATTGGTTTGGACACGCAGGAGATGGGTATGGGAGCTGTAAGACACGATTAAGTTATTTAAATAAAGATATTACGTTTTATATCAGCCTACTTACTTGTTGAGTAATCGGGAGTCTTCACCGAGAACGCCACCCGGAACACATTCGCGTACAGCTCGACCAGTTCTTGCACGGCATCTCGCAGCTCATTGCACTTCACCTTAATCTGCTCCAGCATCGAGCGTGGACGGAGCACTACTTGAGCGTAATCTCCATAGTCACTGACAATTTCCGGATTGCTGGCGCCTGCCGCGTACTTCTTTTGCTCCACCTCACAGATGCGCTTCAGATCGGCGACGCACCGTGCAATTTCCATTGTATCGATTGAACCGAGCAGGGCGCAAATGGCCTTCACTGCCTGCACAACTCCGGAGCAGCTCACTACACTCCGTCCGGGCTTTCCGTCAGCTGCTGACTCCAGCTTATCGATCTCCATCTCGAGCGTCTCGATGAGTATCATCATGTTGTCGTAGGTTACAATGGGCACCACCTCGTTGGGCAGTAGCTGCTCAGGCAGCAGATCGGCATCGTGCTCATCATCCCGCTCTGTTCGTGCGATCGCCTGCATGTTGGCCGCCGTACTGAGGCAGAGACCCAGGTGGACATCCTTCTCCAACTGAAAGCTGTTGTGAACGCACTCAAGCTGACTGAGTTTTGACGTGGGCGCCAGCCACTCCAAGAGACCAATGGGCTGTGAATGACAATTATTTACTATTTTTTGAAGCTTGCAAAAATTATGCGAAAATTTTACTTTACAGAGAAAATATTCTATTTTGTATAGTTGCAATAAAATAATTTTAGAAAGTATATCCTATATATCCTTATATCTAGACATCGGATTTTAGGTGAAATCGTTGTTTTTAAATATGATTTAAAGCCAAATTTGATTGGTTACAATTTTTTTACAAAAATCTCAATTAAGTTTGGCATAAATCTAAGCATAACCTAATAAATACAATTTGTAACTAATCAAATGTGGCTTTAAATCGTATTTAAAAAAAACGATTTAACCTAGAATTCGATGGGTACTTATATCCAACTATTTAATTTATACACACCTTCACAACATAATCTGTGACGGTTCCTTTCACCTGTCCCTCCAACGACGCCAAAGCCTGTGCCACCACCTGGGCCACGACAGAGTCAACTGTTGGACAAAAATTAAAACCATTAGATAGGCATATTTTAAATCTTTTTAAATCACACTTACTGTCGCAGGTGAACGTAACTGGCATTCCATAGCCCTTCACCTGTTCCTTGGCCATGGAAGCGGCCAGAACGTGCGATTGAAGGGTGTTCAGTGCCGGATGCACGATCACCTTGATGCTGGTGTCCATCATGTAGTGGTAGTTGAACTCGGCGGCCACCACATGACCCACATTGGTAGGCGCATCGTCGTGTGGGTAGCGTGACCTGAGCTCCTTAACCATATGGTAGAACTCCAGTAGTTCAGGATCATCTGTGCGCTGGTCACTGATTAGTTCGTACAGACGTGTACAGGTTTTCCGTCGATCCAGTACCACATTCGCCGGAATGCTGTTCGTATAGCTGTCAGTCAGAAGAGAAGACTGCTGAGGCTTTGAGGCAGGCACAGGTGCCTGATTTGATTCATAGAGCTGCTGATTTCTTGGCGGCAACGGAGGAGGCGGCGAGATACTTCCGGATCCGTTCTGCGACAGCTTTAGACTATCCTCCGGCGGCGCATCTCCATAATACGATGATGATGATGTTGATGGCTGAGCCAGAAAATCTTGACGCCAACCAATTAGACCGACATTTGGACTCACGGTGGTCGCAGTTTTGTCCCATCTATTGACCGCTTCGTACATGGGATCCGAGTACTGAGTACCTCCATCGCCGCTGTACAGAAAGTCAAAGGGATCGTATTCCGCATAGTACGAAGTGCTGTCGGAGGCGCTGTCGTTTCCTGCAAGTAGCGAGTGCATGATCAGTTCCGGTTTAAATCCAGTTCCCAGACCC